TTCCATCTGAACATGAGGAAGGACTTCCTGACTGTGAGAGCCGTTCAGCAGTGGAACTCTCTGCCCCGGAGTGTGGTGGAGGCTCCTTCTTTGGAAGCTTTTAAACAGAGGCTGGATTGCCATCTGTCAGGGGTGCTTTGAATGCAATTTTCCTACTTCTTGGCAGGGGGTTGGACTGGATGGCCCATGAGGTCTCTTCCAACTCTATGATTCTATGATTCTATGACATATGTAAATATAATAATTCCATTAAAAATACGTAGTATAGCTTCAGAATAGAGTCCTGGTAGGATTATATCCCCCTCCCCCCACCCGGGAACTCCAAGGGAAATGACAAGGCATGACTCTGAGGAACTGGGTTGAAGGTACTCATTACTGAAATCAAACTCTGGGTCATTTTTCAAGACATTGCGTCAGTTGTTTTTGCTCCCCAGAGTGACTTCCTTTCCAAGTCACATTATACACTTCTTTGATTGCCAGTTGTGACCTCTTCAGGATGAAGAAAACTAAAGTATATTAGTGAGCGGGGAGGCAGAAAAAAAGAAGCAAGCTACCAGTTTCCAAGCACACGGCATTTTTATCCTATCTTCTCATTGGTATGGGTGAATAAACTGGCATAGACCCAATGTAGAAAACAGAGAGGCAGGCAAATCTATAAGCTTATGACAGAGACACAGGTTACAAGAGGCAATGTCAGGGCTGGTTTGTCACTTCATGAAGGCAATGCCAAGTTATGACTTCTACATGTGAATAAGATATCACAGTTACAACATGACAGGTCATTCAAGCCATCTAAAACACCCGGTTATGCTGCTGAGATCATTCACATATTCAACTGCCAGTTGTGGGGATGGACCAAGCATCCCTGCTTTCTGAAGCTGGAAGAGAAATATTGCTGTTCCCAAGGCTGACATGCCTGGCCCTCTCTCTTTCGCACTATTTATTGATTCCCATACCCTGGTTTCTGCAATCTAGTAGAATTGTTATGAGGTGTGATGGTTATATAACGTTATGTAACATGATTTTTGTTTCTAGGTTATGAATGTCATGAATTATTTTAATATTTGTGTATATTTATAGTTATTTTATGTCCTGGCATGGAATGTTTGCCGTTTGTCCGCTTTGAATCCCCTTTGGGATGATGAGATGGGCAGAATATAAATGTTTCAAATAAATAAATAAAGATAAATAAATTCCTAATTGGTTCATGGGGAAATATGGGAAAAGTTTATTAAACTATTTTTGGGGGGACATCCTGCAGCACATTTAGCTATAGTTTTTTAATGAATATTTCATAGAGTCTCAACCAATTTAACATAATTTGTGGCAGCAACAAAAACAAAGTTTCTGGAATGTAACAACTACTTTCAATGTAAGTACTACACAATGAATCAGGAAATGACACTTTCAAACCAGGAACAAATTTTTTTTTTCAAATTATGTTACCTAGTGTTATTTATATGCACTATGACAAATTATTATTTATTATTTATTAACTTTATTTATACCCCACTACCATCTCCCCAAGGGACTCGGTGCAGCTTACATGAGGCCGAGCCCAAACACAACAATAAAAGCAATAAAACATTAATACAAGCAATTAAAAAAACATAGACAAAAAAATACACAACATTATCAAAAAGCAACACATAATTAAAACAGTGGGAAGGCCAAATGTAGAATTGGAAATAATAATGCTGGGCCATGAACAAAAGGTGATACTGGTGTTTGTGGAGGGCATACAAGCAGACACAGGGAAATGTAAAGTGCTTTGGAGGACAAAGTGCTATGGGGTCATTATTCCGGGAAGGCACACTGGAACAGCCACGTCTTCAAGCTCCTCCTGAAGACTGCCAGAGTCGGAGCCTGTCTGATATCTTTAGGGAGTGAGTTCCAGAGTTGAGGGGCCACCACTGAAAAGGTCCTCTCCTGCGATGCTGGTGGGATCGAGAGCAGGGCCTCTCCGGAAGATCGAAGGAATCGTGTGGGTTCGTATACAGAGATGCGATCACGTAGGTAGGTGGGCTTTGTAGATAAGAACCTGCACCTTGAATTGGGTCCGGTAGATGAATGGCAGCCAGTGGAGCTCCTTGAACAGGAGGGATGACTGCTCCCTGTAAGGAGCCCCAGTTAACAACCTGGCTGCCGCCCGTTGGATCATCTGAAATTTCCGGGCCGTATTCAAGGGCAGCCCCGTGTAGAGTGCATTGCAGTAATCCAGTCTAGAGGGACTAAGGCAAGTCCAAAACAAAGTCTGTTTGTTCCTACCATATGACTCTCATCTGACCTAGAGTTGTTTAGAGTGCTTCCAGACAGTGCCAAAATGTGTTTTTTAAAACTAGAAAAATGGGACCTGACACAGCCTTGTCAGTCCCAAGAAATGCTCCCCTGCCATCCTCACAACCTTTCTTTGATGGAGGGCAGATAGGGGACATCAGACAAAAGTTTTTTTTATGTGCTGGACCTCATAAGCGCAATGCGAATATCTTAAACACAAGCAGATTTGCATGTGCACATATGACGTCCAGCACATAACAGAGTGATTCTTTTTTAAAAAAACTTAATTCAGATCTCTCTCTTCACCCAATTTTTAATTCAATATTATAAAGTTGAAAAAAAAAAGAGTTTCAGAGAGTTCTAACTGCTTTCCAATTGTGGTTTGCTTGATCCACCTGTGTGTCCGTGGGTCCATGTTTTGATACCTGTACCAGCTGATCAGCTGTTTCAGGGTTTTTAAAAGTGCACACAGGGAGAAGGGAAGAAAATCACATGTTTTCCATGTCTGCAGGGATATACAATCATGCAAATGTGCACATTTTTAGGGCAGAAATTAGGTTTTAAAGAAACCATTTTAACACATGCTTTTCAGCTGTTATCCTGACTCCACCTGCACTTTGGCTAAAGGTCATTTAGTCACCCCTCTTTTTAACCCAGTTACTTCTGGGTTTTTACCATGTGTAGAAGGGCCCTTAGAAAAACAACTGAAGATCAATTTTGACCAAAACAAAATACAGTTATTCCACCACATTCATTGGGATTAGGGGTACAGAACTCCTGTGAACGTGGGAAAACTGCAAATTAAAAAAAATCATGATTTTTTTGATTTGAGTAAACACTTCTCTAGGAATCTATAGTCCCTTCTATGTGACTCTATGATCAATCTCCATCAGATGTTAACCATAGAATCATACGGAAGGACCTACAATGCCTAGAGACATATTGCTCTAGTATTTTCTAGGTCTACCAGTGCAACTTTATAGGCAACTTCTGGCAAAAATTGTCCATAGAGTTACGCTAGAGGATCTAGAAATTCCTAGAAAAGCCTTGGGGTTGTGTTGGACTCATCGCTGACGATGGAAGCCCAGATCACTGCCATAAGTAAGCAGGCCTTTTTTCATCTTCGCCAGGCAAGGAAATTGGCGTCCTACCTTTTGGTAGAAGCATTGGCAATGGTAATCCACTCAATAGTCACCACTAGGTTGGACTATTGCAATGCCTTATATGCTGGCCTTCCAAAGTCAACAACTCAGAAGATTCGGATGGTCCAAAATGCGGTGACCAGGCTGCTAGCAGGATCATCTATAAGATCCCATATTACACCAATTCTGCAACAACTGCATTGGCTACCAATAGAACATCGGATCTCTTACAAGATACTGATCCTGATATTTAGAGCTCAAAATGGCCAAGGACCTTTATATCTTAGGGACCGCCTCATTCCTTTTTCCCATCAGTGGTTACCTTGATCCACCCAAGAAAATCTCCTATAAATACCAGGCCCTAGGGAGATACACCTGGAAGCTACACGGCATAGAGCTTTTTCGACCTATGCTCCAATTCTGTGGAACTCATTGCCTCCATATATTAGAGCAACGTCGGAGTTGTGACCTTTTGTAAAAGCGCTCAAGACTTGGCTGTTTGGTTGTGCATTTAAGTAAAGTGATCAGATCTAATTTGCCAAATAGTCACTGTTGTATGTTTTTATGTTAAATGTTTTTATATTGTGTAAATGCTATTTTAAATTGTAAGTCGCTCAGAGCACCTTGTTGGAGAGCGACTAATTAAGAAATAAAGAGAAGTGAAGAAAGAACATAATAAGCAAATCCCCAAGATGGTGCCCTGTAGCTATACTGCACAACATCTGAGTGGAGAAGATACTGTTTTCCTCAGGGTTTCAGGATATATAAGTCAATGTTCAGTGTTATGAAAAAATGCCTTTGACAATTAAAGCTGGAGCAATGAAGTATATTCTAAAGCAGGAGCTCTTAACCTTTTTTTTGTATGGTGTGCCTCAAATCCAAATTTGTCATTTATTGTAATTGGCTCTTTTATATTACTTTCATGGCCTTTTCCATTGCCCGACTGCGGACGCTGTCTGGCTTTGTAAGCATGCCATGCAGTGCTATGTAAGTCTGGGTAAACTTCCTGTTTGCTAGCAGACACATTAGGCATGCTGAATTCTCCTCAGTGTTTTGTCTATCTAAATACAACTCCTGTGTTCACACTACTAGACTCCACTCTCAATTTTCCTCTTAAAAACAATGTTACTAAATACTCCTATTAATGAGAATGTGTTGAGATATTTATTGTACTTAATGCAGTTATTCAATTTTCTTTATGTGAAATTGAATGAACAAAAATGGTTAGAAAACATTCACCATTTATTTATTTATTATTTACTGTATTTGTATACCACCTTTCTCAGCCAGTTGGCGACCATACAAGTTAGATCTCGAAAGCTGTAATTATTTTAACTTTACATATAAACTAGTGACCCATTTGAATGAGTTTTGTGGATCATGACATAGAGGTTGGGACATACTGACCTAAAGAGTCATATTGACTTTTAAACTATCCTCCAAAGAGACTTCTCAGAATAGGAAAAGTTCCAATTTTTAAAGTTTGTCTATTTGGTAAATAGTTTTTATGAAATAGAGGTAAAGAAAGGTATGAAAGGAGAGACCAAAGAGACTTGGTGGTACCAAAATGTGCAATATTACCTTGAGGGCATCTGGTGTATCCTCCAGGCAGTATACTTTAAGACTGTATTCCAGTGAGGTGCACAGGGTGGGAGCAAAGATGGCAAGCTGGAGTCTCTTGATGGCTGATCTGGAGTAGGACTCTCCCACCAGGACATACGTCCCAAGCTGCTCGAGAAGAACATGGCAGCACTTGGGTTCCAGTTGGCAGTAGCAGGGAGTGTTTAAAGTCTCTTCATCCAGAGTGACAACCTCCTGAAGGAGAAACACAAGAAGTTCATTCCATGTGACAGTCTGCACACTAAAAGTTGGAATCATTGCTTATAACTCTTTAGGTGTCCATTTGCTAATAGATACATGATTGGCTTCATAGGGAAAAGAGAAGGGAGACAAAAAATACTGCCCAAAGAGAAACTATTGTGGGATTCGGTCATTTGAAGACATTATGTAAATACACCAATTTTGTTTAGGATGTCTCTTATTTTGCGCAATGCCACCTGCAGTTTTTATAATCTTTTTTAAATGTTTGAACAATTTATCCTCCGTCTACTAAGGAAGAAAATATACACAGCATGATTCTTTGGTCAATTTCCACCAGACCATAGAATTGATTAGAGAGATGGGCCAAAACTAACAAAATGAAGTTCAACAGGGACAAATGCAAGATACTCCACTTAGGCAGAAAAAATGAAATGCAAAGATAGAGAATGAGGGACACCTGGCTTGAGAGCAGTACGTGTGAAAAAGATCTTGGAGTCCTCGTGGACAAGAAGTTAAACATGAGCCAACAATGTGATGTGGCAGCAAAAAAGCCAATGGGATTTTGGCCTGTATCAATAGGAGCATAGTCTCTAGATCTAGGGAAGTAATGCTACCCCTCTATTCTGCTTTGGTTAGACCACACCTGGAATATTGTGTCCAATTCTGGGCACCACAATTCAAGAGAGATATTGACAAGCTGGAATGTGTCCAGAGGAGGGCGACTAAAATGATCAAGGGTCTGGAGAACAAGCCCTATGAGGAGCGGCTTAAAGGAGCTGGGCATGTTTAGCCTGAAGAAGAGAAGGCTGAGAGGAGACATGATAGCCATGTATAAATATGTGAGAGGAAGCCACAGGGAGGAGGGAGCAAGCTTGTTTTCTGCTTCCTTGGAGACTAGGACGTGGAGCAATGGCTTCAAACTACAAGAGAGGAGATTCCATCTGAACATGAGGAAGAACTTCCTGACTGTGAGAGCCGTTCAGCAGTGGAACTCTCTGCCCCGGAGTGTGGTGGAGGCTCCTTCTTTGGAAGCTTTTAAACAGAGGCTGGATGGCCATCTGTCAGGGGTGATTTGAATGCAATATTCCTGCTTCTTGGCAGGGGGTTGGACTGGATGGCCCATGAGGTCTCTTCCAACTCTTTGATTCTATGATTGGAAAAGCTAGATAATATCTCTAGGAATCTACATTGTGACTCCTAAGGTCAATGTCTGCCAGAGGCTGCCTATAAAGTTACTCTGGAGAACTTTGAGATTGTAAGAGAAAACGTTTTAATCAAATCCTTCATTAATCAAATCTGTAAATATGGAGGGTCGACTATATATGTTTATAACCATCATGCAGATAGTCAGACACTGAAATTCTATGTAGCTGAATTCAGCAGCAAATGGCACCAGCTGCACTGCAACTTTTTTGCAGAATTGTAGAAAATCAAGAGTGGGGCAACAACAGAATACGTGAATAGCTCCCTTAGTTTTTCATTAATCTGGCCCTGCAGTGCCGCCTTCTGGAAAATACTAACATTACTGTAGTATGGATTGCTGTAGTTTTGCTCTTTCGTTTCTGGGATATTTGATGGGCGAGTTCATTCAGAAGTTGCAGATGTTGGGACTAAAGTTGGAAGTTTCACACTTCCGAACTGAGTTCCGAAGTGTACTTGCGAGTTGGAAGTCCCCTGTAGTTTCGAAGCAACCCGGGCCATTGATTTCAATGGCTTGGAAGTTGATTCAGAAGTATCAGAAAGCCCCCAACCATAACATTATTTTCTTTGCTACTACATAATTGTAATTTTGCTACTGCTTTGAATTGTAATGTAAATATCAGATATGCAGGATGTATTTTCATTAACTGGACCAAATTTGGCACAAATACCTGATAAGTCCAAATTTGAATACTGGGGGGGGGGGGGGGGCTTGTTGGAGGAATTGATTTTGTCATTTGGGAGTTGTACTTTCTGGGATTTATAGTTCACCTACAATCAAAGAGCATTCTGAACTCCACCAACAATGGAATTGAACCAAACTTGGCACAAAGAACTCCCATGACCAACAGATAATACTGGAAGGCCTTGGTGGGCACTTGGCCTTGAGTTTTGGAGTTGTAGTTCACCTACATCCAGAGAGCACTGTAGCTTCAAAAAATGATGGATCTGGACCAAACTTGGCATGAATACCCAATATGCCCAACTGGTGGAGTTTGGGGAAAATAGACTATGACATTTGGGAGCTGTAGTTGCTGGGATTTATAGTTCACCTACAATCAAAGAGTATTCTGAACTCCACCAACAATGGAATTGAATCAAACTTGGCACACAGAACTCCCACGACTCCAACTCCCACCAACAGAAAATATTGGAAGGGTTGGGTGGGCATCGACCTTGAGTTTTGGAGCTGTAGTTCACCTACACCCAGACAGCACTGTGGACTCAAACAATGATGGATCTGGACCAAACTTGGCATGGATACTGAATATGCCCAAATGGTGGAGTTTGGGGGAAATAGACCTTGATATTTGGAAGTTGTAGTTGCTGGGATTTATAGTTCATCTACAATCAAAGGGAATTCTGAATCCCATCAGCAATAGATTTGGGCCAAACTTCCTATACAGAACCCTCACGACCAACAGAAAATACTGTGTTGTCTGATGGTCTTTGGTGACCCCTCTGACATCCCCTCATGACCCCCTCAGTGGTCCCGACCCCCAGGTTGAGAAACATTGCTCTATAATATTTCCTAAATCCCCTGGACCCCAACACCCAGGTGTCTTCCCTACGTCAGGGGAAAGGCACCAAAGTTATCTTTTTGGGGGGGGAGGGGGGGTTCAACTGCCTCCCTTCTGCTTGAAGGGGGAGAGAAGCCACTGAAGTTTCCCAAGTGTCAGTACTGTTTTCCCCTAATGCGCATGCGCGTCCACCAATAACAAATCAATTCAGAAGTTTTGGAAGTACCCCCTACTTTTGAACACAGTTTAGAATCATTTTTTAATTGTCCATGCCTAGTATATACATTCACCTTCTTTCCCTCCCTCTCTCACACACTAATCCCCATTATATCCTTGATTTCGGTTTTGGAGTCTCCATATGTTTCTTGCCGTGCAACACACCATCTTTGACATCTGACCACTTTAAATAAGGGGTTGAGGTGCCCTATATCTGAAGATCTAAGGATTCATGATGGGGAAAGGGGTGCTAAAAGCTAAGCTAAGAAATTAAAAAAAATTATATAATTCTGAGGAGAGAGAGCATCATTTAAAATGTCTGTGACTGACAGAAGATGGCATCATTGTAGGAGTTTTGCCTCTGTGAAAGTAAAAGCACACAATGAAAAATTTAACTATTTCAAATAACAAGCCTGTTCCACAGACTATTGAACAACATACGTTAGATTACTGCAAGTAGAAATGGCAATGTTTTTCAAGATATCATCCAGTCATCAAGCTTTATTTACAGAATTTATACCCGGCATTTCTCTTGAATTGGGATTTAAGGCAGCTTTCAGCAATTTAAACAAGATTAAGTAAAAAATCTAGCTTTAAAAAGTTAAATGTGAATTACATAATCATATTATGCTTAAAAATACTTTGAAAACACAGCTAAAGCATATAGTAATTACTAATAAAATAAAAGAAGTACAGGTTGAATATCCCTTATCTGGATTTTCAAATCCAAAATACTCCAAAATCTGAAATGGTCTACATGGGTGGCTAGATTGCTTTCTGTGCACAAAATTCTTAAAAATAATTTGTTTTGTACACAAGATTATTTAAATATTTACTTAAAATTGACTTTAGGCTATGGGTATAAGGTGTGAATGAAACAAAAAAAAATGTAATGTTTAGACTTGGGTTCCATCTTCAAGATACCTCATTGTATATACAGAAGAATTTCAAAATCCCAAACACTGCATTTTGAATAAGGGATGCCTAACCTGTACAACATAGTACACAACTTCACACATACCAGTACTGCACAAACTACTGAGAACTGGGAGGGGGTCAACCAGACCTCTTGAGGAAGGGAGTTTTGCAGTTTGGGAACAACCACATTAAGGCTCTCTCCTGTGCCCTCACCAAATGTGCTTGTGAAGGTGGTAGAATTGAAAGAAACTCCTCCCTTGCAGATCTTAAAACATGAGCTGGCTTGTATAGCAAAATATGGTCTTTCAAATAGTCTGTACCCAAACCATACAGGGCTTTAGAGATCAAAACCAACACTTTGAATTGTGTCCACAAACATGTTACAGTAAGCTGTAGCAGGACCAAGTGTGTGTGTGTGTTGAAGAAAAACCTTATGATGATAATTATGATGTGCAGCTGGTAATGTAGGTCAACCAGCAATCTTGGACCACACCCGATAGGGTATAACTGTATAGGTTTTTAGAATACAGTTCTGGAGAGCTTTTTCTCTGAGGAGATCTATGCTCAAAGGCTCTGCTCTGAGGAGCAGGATGGAGAGAAGCCTTTACGTTGCTCTAAAAGGGGCTATGGTGTAATAGCTGTTTGCTCAAGGTTTATGTTTTGCTTTCTCATTTGACTTAAGATGAAGATGCCTTATTTTGTGTTTCTTACAAAGACTATGTAAGTTTCTTGCACTGTTTGTTTTTTGTATGCAACATTGCAAGTCTGTATTTCATCTCTGCTATTAAGAGTAAAGATTTTTCTGTTCATTTCTACTCTTGTCTGTGTGTCTTGTGCATGGGATGCGGCTAAGATCCGCTTGCTGTGCAACAAAACAGACTGGTAGCCAGTGAATTTGTTTCAATGGTGAGTGGGATGGTGTCACATGATTCCTGTACTTAACCTCAATCAACAGCCTAGCTAAGAAGCACTGCCTGAACATCAAGCAAAAAGTGGGTGCCAGAAACAATATCATACGAAAGCTGACTGGCACAACCTGGGGATCACAACCTGATACAGTGAAGACATCTGCCCTTGTGCTGTGCTGCTCTGCTGCTGAGTATGCATGCCCAGTGTGGAACACATCTCACCACACTAAAACAGTGGATGTGGCTCTTAATTAGACATGCCGCATAATCACAGGGTGTCTGCGCCCTACACCACTGGAGAAATTAGACCGCTTAGCCGGTATTGCACCACCTGACATCTGCCGGGAAGTAGCAGCCAATAGTGAAAGGACCAAGGCAGAGACATCTCCAGCTCATCCCTGTTTGGGTATCAGCCAGCACGTCAACGACTTAAATCTAGAAATAGTTTTCTAAGATCTACAGAGACACTCGCTGGAACACCTCAGCAAGCGAGAGTCCAAAAGTGGCAGGCCCAAACCCAGAACCTCAACCAATGGCTGATACCAAATGAGAGATTCCCTCCTGGGCACACAGAGACTGGGCGACTTGGAAGGCACTGAACAGACTGCGCTCTGGCACCACGAGATGCAGAGCCAACCTTCAGAAATGGGGCTACAAAGTGGAATCCTCGACATGCGAGTGTGGAGAAGAGCAAACCACTGACCACCTGCTGCAATGCAACCTGAGCCCTGCCACATGCACAATGGAGGACCTTCTTGCAGCAACACCGGAAGCACTCCAAGTGGCCAGATAGTGGTCAAAGGACATTTAACCAACTACCAAACTCACAAGTTGTGTATTTTTCTGTTTGTTTGCTTTGTTCTGTTAGAAATGTAATATAATGGACTGGTTGCTCTGACACGACAAATAAATAACAGCCTAGCTGCAGTATTTTAGATCTGCTGAATTAAGTAACCAACCCATATAATTATCATCTTCACCTCTTTCCATGATCCTTCATCATTGAATTTGGCTTACCTCCCAGTTTCCTTGGTGAGACTGAGTTTTGAGTTGCAACATCCAGTCTGGAGAACTGACGTCTGCGCAGTGTGGGACAGTCAGGATGACAGGGCGGCATAAGAGCAGGCCAGTGGGACCGCAAGTAACCATGGGACTCAGCACTGTCTGTGTGCCTTCTGAGGGCAAGCTGGAGAGGGCAAACACAAGGAGGCAAAATGTTGATATGGTGGCCAAGAGAGATGTTGGTTAAAAATCAAAAAATCTAAAACTCCACTGGGCAAACTAGCTCTTTGTATAGCCACTACATGGCAAATATGGTAAGGTGGGGCAGAAAAAAAATAGAAATGACACAATCTGTTTAACTTACAGAGAATTTTCTGCTTTGTTGATCATCAAATACATTTCATAGAACTTCCCCTGAGGAATTGCTCCATGTGGCACCAAGAGACTCACCCCTAAAAGGAAAAACAGAAGAAAATGAAACTTTCTAAAATGCTATTCATAAAAAGATACAACACTGAACTCTACTGTGAAGAAGGGATGGACAACTAGCTGCTCCAGGGCTGCATGTGGCCCTTGACCTAATTTCATGAGTGATTATTTCTGGTTGCGATCACTTCAGACCTCCGGCAAGAGCAATGCATCTCTTTTCTGGCAGCGATGAAGAGAGAAGGAAAGAGATCAAGGAATATGATTAGAGAGAGAAAGTGGTGGTGGTTCTGCTCACTTTGATTCTGGCATCATCCTCTATTGACATGCAGCCATGACATGACATGACATCACGGGAACAATGCATTTGAAAGTGGGGAAAGGCCTGAGCTATCTCAGAAAATCTTGGTGGAAAGGTAGCTTTTATGGAAGATCATACTTCAAAGAGAAAGTGTGGTAGAGAAGGGTACTGGGATCTTGTCCTAACTTGTCTACTGCATGTGACTACTGCACAATAGACTCCTGCAACGCACTCTACGTGGGGTTGCCCTTGAAGACGGTTCGGAAACTTCAACTGGTCCAGCGAGCGGCAGCCAGGCTGCTCACTGGGGCGACATACAGAGAGCACACCACCCCTCTGCTGTGTCAGCTCCACTGGCTGCCGGTTCAGTTCCGAGCCCAATTCAAGGTGCTGGTTTTGACCTACAAAACCCTGTACGGTTCTGGTCCAGTGTATCTGTCCGAACGTATCTCCCTCTATGTCCCACCACAGAATTTAAGATCATCTGAGGGGACCCTGCTCTCGACCCCAAGTGAGGCTGGTGGGGACGAGGAGCAGGGCCTTCTCAGTGGTGGCCCCTCACCTGTGGAACTCACTCCCAGTGGATATCAGGGCATCGACATCACTCCTGTCTTTCAGGAGGAAGGTAAAGACGTGGTTGTGGGACCAGGCCTTCGGGCAATCTGCTAACTAGGTAAGGACAACCAGACAAATAGGACAGGCAAGACTAATAAATGTGGAAGGAAACTCTGAACTATGAGATAGCGAACATTGACCGGCAATAAGGAGTAATTGGTTTGTATCGGTTTGTATGAAATTTTTATTGGTTTTATTGGTTTTAGCGGGTATAGATGTAATGTATTGTTGTTAATTGCTATTTTGCGCTATTCTGTTTTTTTTCTGCTGTATGTTATGGGCATTGAATTGTGCCTTGGATATGTAAGCCGCCCTGAGTCCCCTTCGAGGTAAGAAGGGCGGGATAAAAGTAAACCAAATAAATAAATGTTCCTTTGAAGTGTCTGCCATTAAGTCTAGTTGCCATAAATAAGACTTCCACCCTACTTCTAAGATTTTAACTGGGGTGGAAATGGAGAAACGCAGAACTTCTTAAAAGGAGCTGGATTGACTCCTGCTTGGTTTCAGAGTGTTCTCTTGGGAAAGGGGCAGGAGATGATGAGACTACTGTTTTGTTCAAAAAAGCATAAACCCAAGTTCAAATTAACACTGAAACCAGTATCACATATTTTTTGTGAACTAAGCCCCATTAATTTCAGTGGGAACTAATTGTAACTTCATCGGGATCTGACTGAAAGCAATCTTGGTTGAGATTTCTCCTCCTGATTCTCTCTTGTTGTGTTTCTGCCTGTTCTTTAGATATCAAGCAGGGACTATGTTTCTCTGCTTTTTCCTGTACTCAGCAATTAATTAATGTGTTTTATTAATAGTACAATCTCCAAAACACATAAATTAATTGTATAGTACATTCTCCAAACCATATGGAAGGCTGAGCAAAGGAAGATCGATGCTTTTGAACTGTGGTGTTGGAGGAAAGTTTTGAGAGTGCCTTGGACTGCGAGAAGACCAAACCAATCCATACTTCAGGAAATGAAGCCTGACTGCTCATTGGAGGGAAGGCTATTAGAGGCCAAGATGAAGTACTTTGGCCACATAATGAGAAGACAGGAAAGCTTAGAGAAGACAATGTTGCTGGGGAAAATGGAAGGAAAAAGGAAGAGGGACCGACCAAGGGCAAGATGGATGGATGGTATCCTTGAAGTGACGGGCTTGACCTTGAAGGAGCTGGGAGTGGTGATGGCCAACAGGGAGCTCTGGTGTGGGCTGGTCCATGAGGTCACAAAGAGTTGGAAGTGTCTGACTGAATGAACAACAACACATTCTCCAATGTTTCTCACTTTGCCTCCTCCTCCATCTTTATGTGGTGGCACCGGGATTGTGGCACAGTTGGCTGAGTGTCAGTTGCATTAAGATCACTGTGACCAAAAGGTCATGAGTTCGAAGCCAGCCCGGGTTGGAGTGGGTTTCCAACCAATTGTGTGCAGCCTGTTGTCGACCTTTGCAACCCGAAAGACAGTTGCATCTGTCAAGTAGGAAAATTAGGTACCACCTTAAAAAGTGTGGGGAGGCTAAATTAACTGATTTATGAGGCCATAAAGACGACTCCAGCAAAGCATTCCAGCGGGGAAGCATGCGGGGAATGCGGAAGTGCTTCATCAGCGTCGCAGATAGACGAGGAAAGCGACAGCTCCCCTGGCGGGCAGAAAAAGTTAAATAGCTTCTGTGTATGTCTGTATATGTTTGTATGTCAAAAAATGGCATTGAATGTTTGCCATATATGTGTACACTGTAATCCACCCTGATTCCCCTGCGGGGTGAGAAGGGCGGAATATAAAAGCTGTAAATAATAATAATAAATAATAATGTGCCTTCTGCAGGCAGAAAGGCAATGAGAACCTGCGCTCTGCATGAGGTGCTGACCTTAACCAAGTCTGCACACATTGTTATGATCTATCTTTTCACAGAATACTTTGAAAGGCATGCTTAATCACATTAAATGGAGCATAAAGCATTACAATTGCTAACATTGTTTCAGTAAACTGCCCAAGTATTACATGATATTTAATGCTCACTGCATGCATTCAGCCGAATTCTGCCTTAGGAAAGTGCCTGGTTTTGTTTTTATTTTAGAGGAAACCCCAAAAGCTGATTCTACCACTGCATAATGATCTTTGGCTTTGTCACTCCGGCTGTAAGTAAATCTAGGGGAAAGAGAGCTAAAATATGCCATTGTAGATCAAGCTGGCTGTTTCTGGGGTGATATTTTAAAACATTACCAGCATCAGGAATGCACATCTAATTAATCAGAAAGTATCATCCTTGATTGATTGCATGAGCCAAATAATGGGTTGAATGATGGCAAATAATGGAAACGCATGAGAAGGTGTTCATGTTATCTGAACCCTAGATGAAGGATACAAAATATATCCTTGCTCTTAATTGACTCACTGTCCACCTCTCTGTAAAACTAAAGGTTCACAGGATATTTTTTTCCTTAGGGTTATATTGCAGATGGAGACTGACTTCTGAATTTCCAGGTGGATCTGTGTGTTTTATACTAGCTTTGGTTGTTTATCAGGTGCACATTTTCTGGATGGTAACCACAACAAGCAGAGAGGTGAGGGAATGATAGGAGGGTAAATTCTGGGAGAGACAGTCAGGATTTGAGAATCCATATTCTGTTGGACAGTCAGTAAGTGGCCTCATCTTCAAAACCTCTCTCATTTTTCCAAACTTTTCTTCCCAGAAATGGTTCCCACGCTTTCGATGTACCACCCTTTCTATTCTCAGAGAGGTAGAAGAAGAGAGAGCTTTATTTAATCCATTTTTTCCCCTCTAGTCGCTCCCCTTTCTTATTTTACTATATCTCACAATTGTTCCCCCACTTTCATTGTCACTCGGAAATTCAATTATATCGATAGATAGATAGATAGATAGATAGATAGATAGATAGATAGATAGATAGAGATATAAAAGGATTTGGGAATCCGTAAGGGAATCGAAACATTTCATGCTGATGACATACATCATTTCACAACACAGTAGTTCAGTGTTATTAGCAAAGCTATATATGCCTGTCTCTATCTATCTATCTATCTATCTATCTATCTATCTGAATTTTAATAAAACGTATGAGGATACAACATATCTAAAAAAAACCCTTTCATTTATATATTTCAAAATAAATCATTTGAAAGACAATAACCTACATTTCCCAAGATACCTTTGTGCGACATATCTACATACCATAGCTGACACACTAACATGTTGTGACACACAGTATGGAAAGCTCTGCCATAAAGGCTCAGCTGCATTTCACAAGCTTTCACTGGAGTTGTCCAAGGTCCTGAAATGCCGCCTCTATCTGCAATCCTGACTGCGATCCATGCATATTGCAGGCGGCCCACTAACATATTGTGACACACAGTTTGGAAAGCTCTGCCATAAAGCTCAGTTGCATTTCATATACTTTCATTGGAATTATCCAAAGTCCTGACATACCATCCCAAACTGATCCTGATGGACTGTGTTTGGGTCAGCACATCTCCACCTACGCTTCCTGCCCAGCAAAGCACCCCCCTGCATCCATGAAATCCTGCTTGGAGTCAGGATAGGACAATATTCCTTTCATGCTGATATTTACCTGTTCCAGGGATGGTGAGTCTTCCTCCCAGGCAGCCAAATGTCCCAGTAGCGCTATTCCCAGGCTCCCGGGGTAGAGTTAAGAGCTGCTGAGAGCCCATGGTCTTATTCCTTAGGTTCATGAAGTGATTGTCCCTGAAGTTCTCTCCTGGGAAAGTGCCTGAGGGCATGGTTCCTAAAAGATTTGCTGCCTCATGTATCCCAGGAGAAGAGGATGTTGTGGAGGAATTATATACTTTGATCTTGAGGTTAGGGAGTGGGTCAAGCAATGGAGAGTTGGTCATTGGGATCTTGTCAGAGGAATCTTGCAAAGCATACATGGGACCACGGTATATACCCGCGTTGGCTGTGAGGTCAGGCTGCATCGAAGGGTGTAGTAGTTGTGGAGTGTCTGCAAAAGAGAGCATAAGAAATGCTTAATTTTATTTAAATGCTTCTCATAATGGGCGATGTAATCTAAGAACAGAGTAGAGTAGGCTGTCAGTATCTGCTACACTTTGATTCCAGAATCCCCCATGTTTTCCAAAATCAAATGGAGGATGAGAGTATAATAAAGCAATGCTTGATGGAACAATACAAGCGGGGAAGCTGGGTTCAGTATTGGTTGGCCCTGTGCCATCAGCATTTTGACAGGTCAACAACAACCCTATTGCAGTTAGACAGAAGGCAATTATAGTTAAAATCTTTGAGATGGATGCATCTGACAACTTGTTGACTAGTAAACAGAAGGATTTCACTACTTGGGCACCATAAAATAGTCTGAACCTTAACAGTTCTGATGTATTCCTGAGATCATTCTAAATAAAGTTTTAAAATCAACGGAAGACTGCATTTAAGTGAATAACACAATGTAACACAATTTTTATTCCTGGGTTATAAATATTATTTTCCAATTGCTTCTATCATAAAAACATGGGAAAAGTTTATTAAACTGCAAAAACTGTGTTTTTGCGGGACACCCTGAAGCACATTTGCTATAGTTTTTCAATGAATATCCCATCGAGTCTCAACCAATTCAACATAGTTTGCTGCAACCGCAAAAATGAAGTTTCTAGAACATTACAACTACTTTCAAAGTAAGTACCACATAATTAAACAGGGACAACACTTTCAAACATGGAACAAATCCCCCCCCCAAACTTTTGTTACATAGTTTACATAGCTCCACTGGCTGCCGATCAGCTTCCGTGCACAATTCAAAGTGCTGGTTCTGACCTATAAAGCCCTAAACGGCTCTGGCCCAGTTTACCTGTCCAAACAGATTCTCCCATATGAGCAATCAAGGCTATTAAGATCTTCCGGGGGGGCCCTGCTCTCGGTCCCACCACCCTCGCAATCGCAGCTGGTGGGGACGAGAGACAGGGCCTTCTCAGTGGTGGCTCCCCGGCTTTGGAACTCCCTCCCACTAGAGGTCAGATCTGCCCCCTCCCTCCTGATGTTCAGGAAATTACTAAAAACCTGGCTCTGGAATGTGGCATTCGAGGACTGAACCTAGAACCTTTCCCTGTGATGAATTATGATGAACTGTGACTACGAGCATGACTATGACTATGACTGGATTGACGATTTGGCTTAGGAAACTGTAATGATGATGTTTTTATTGTACTGTATTGTACTATTTTATATATGCTGTAAACCGAACTGAGTCCCTTGTCGAGGTTGAGAAGGCCGGTATAGAAAATTTCCAAATAAATAAATAATAAAAATGTACATGAATGAAGCTTTATTTATTTTCTTACTTTGCTGTAAGCTGCTCTGGGACCCTTTGGGAGATGGGGTAGGGTATAAATAAAGCTTCATTCACTCATTCATTCTTCAAATGAGTGGAAAACATCACCCCAGGAGTTGTGAAGCCACAGGACTTTAACTATCAAGTATCAATGGGAAGGAGTGGTCTTGGAATGTATCCCCCATGTACGCATAGGACATACTGTATTAGAAAAACTATTCAGGAGATGAGATGTGATGTTTTATTTTAACATGGACTACTTTGTTACTTACAGTTGTGTTGCTTACAGCTTCTACCTTTAGTCTAAGTACTTGTATAATATTGTCATTTTATGGATAGAGAGAAAATGACGTGGCTAAAGACAGTGAGGGATTTCAGGGCAAGTAGGAACTTTGTGGAACTTTGCAGCTTTCAGGAAACTTTTCTCATTATACATACGTTTTCCTTCTGACTCAAGAAACCAAAACTCTGTAGAAAGAGCCCCTGAAACAAGGAGGCACAGACCCTTAGAACAAACTAGGTAAGGTCTTACCATGTCTGGAGGTCTTGAAATTGACTGGGTGGAAGCCTCCTGTCAGGGCAGCCGAAGAGTCGGTTATGTCGGTGTCAAAGTCCCGGCAGCTGCGCCTGTACACGACCACCCCAACAGCCATCAGGATAACAATGAAGATAAAGATGGCAACCACCAGGCCAGCATACAACGCTACATCACCAGTTGCCTCTAACACTAGGTGGAAGGAGAAGATTAAAAATAAGATGTCACTTTCCAGTTACCTCTTTGTAAGTTGTCTTCAAAATGGAAGTCAAGGTTTATTTTTCCCCCAAACTCCACCTGTGTTCATATTTGGGCATATAGAATATTCATGCCAAGTTTGGTCCAGATCAATCGTTTTTTGAGTCCATAGTGCTCTCTGGATGTAGGTGAACTACAACTCCCAAACTCAAGGTCAATGCCCACCAAACCCTTCTAGTGTTTTCTGTTGGGCATGGGAGTCCTGTGTGCCACGTTTGGTTCAATGCCATAATTGGTGGAGTTCAGAATACTCTTTGATTGTAGGTGAACCATAAATCCCAGCAACTACAACTTCCAAATGACAAAATCAATTTTTTTTGAGTGGAGGACATAAATTGGATTGTTAGGTCTATGCTGTCCAAATTTGGTGTCAATTGGCCCACTGGTTTTTGAGTTCCGTGAATACCACAAACGAACATTACATTTTTATTTATATAGATTATTATTATTATTATTAAAACAAGTATAGTGAAAAAATGTGAAAGATCAACATTGAAATCAGTACTAAAATTTTTTAAAGCATACAATTCAAAATGTTAAAAGCCTTTAAAATTTTTCAGTTCATAATATTTTTTTCCTCCTCTTGTCAGAAAAACAGCAGAGAGGGCCATTCTACCCACCCTGTTAACATATTTCCAGAGCCTGAGCATCCACTGGGGGAAGGCCTTCTCCACTAATGCTTTCTTTCACAACTGTGAACTGAATTCTTGTTCTATGATTTATAAACTTCTATTTTATTCTTCCCTCCGCAGATGGAAGGGTATGTGAAAACAAAAAACTAAACTGTATTTTTAGGGCAAGAGATGGAGTCGGAACGAGGAAGAAATAGTAGGCTTGATGAAGAGGGCAACACAGAAGATTATAAACACCAGAAATTATACTGTCTGTAAAGAGAATCACCAAAATACCAACAGATATGTATGTAAACAAAAGACAATGGCTTGCTGGGAAGGATAGTCATTGCCAATCTGTCAAGAGCAAGCAGTACAGTTTCCAGTAAGCCAATAATCAGGTGTGCTCCTTTGGGAAATGGCTAGAATATCAACTATATGGGATATTATTTTGGAGTTATGGAAGAACCTGATTATATAATATAATCTCAGAAAAAGGATGCACAGTATTCGGGAGGATTTTACAGCTACTGGGATGTGCAAAAAACAATACATGCAAATAATGATGGCTTTTAATAAAAATAAATAGTCTTTCTTGGTTTGGTGGTTCCCCATTCAGCAATGTTTGTGTGATCTTTGGCTTATGCATAAGCTTATTTTTTTGTCTGCATGATGCATATTGTTTTGGACAGACTGTCATTTTAGACTGGTTTCTGATGGAGTCTCTTAGAATCATAGAAGGAGCTTATTAACTGCATGCCTATTTTTCTCCCAATGCATAGTACTTCAGCTACTACATATCCTACTGTATAACACTGTTCATTGTTTAACTATTGTGCTTTTTTCCCTTTAAAAATAAATAAAATCTTAGACAAAAGAGTATGTCATATTATATACAATCTATCAGTAAATAAACATCAAAAACTTCTTTAATCATATTCCTTATCATTATTTTTAAATTTCCATTACAACTTGTGCTACATCTATCTCTATCACACATCTTTTATCCGGTTATACATATTGTATTTCTTTATAATTATTATTATTATACCATTTCTCCCCTCTTCCCCTTACCCTTAGTTTGTGCCCCTTCCACCAGGACCAACCAACTCATGTTGTTTCACCATTCCAAAATATCATTATTTCTCTTGCTGGCTTATACCCCTTTCCCTCATTAAACACATGCTTGATAAATTTCCCCCATATTTTCCAAAAGTCTGTTTGTTTACATATTCCCCTTTTAATTTTATTATTGCAAGTTAGCTTATAATTAATCGCTATATTCCAAATTTCCCTATACCATTCTTCTAATTGAATTTCTTTTTTTTCCTTCCAGTTTTTTGCTATTATAGAATCATAGAATTATAGAATCAAAGAGTTGGAAGAGACCTCATGGGCCATCCAGTTCAACCCCCTGCCAAGAAGCAGGAATATTGCATTCAAATCACCCCTGACAAATGGCCATCCAGCCTCTGCTTAAAAGCTTCCAAAGAAGGAGCCTCCACCACACTCCGGGGCAGAGAGTTCCATTGCTGAACGGCTCTCACAGTCAGGAAGTTCTTCCTAATGTTCAGATGGAATCTCCTCTCTTGTAGTTTGAAGCCATTGTTCCGCGTCCTAGTCTCCAAGGAAGCAGAAAACAAGCTTGCTCCCTCCTCCCTGTGGCTTCCGCTCACATATTTATACATGGCTATCATATCCCCTCTCAGCCTTCTCTTCTTCAGGCTAAACATGCCCAGCTCCTTAAGCCGCTCCTCATAGGGCTTGTTCTCCAGACCTTTTATCATTTTAGTCGCTCTCCTCTGGACACATTCCAGCTTGTCAATATCTCTCTTGAATTGTGGTGCCCAGAATTGGACACAATATTCCAGGTGTGGTCTATTAACAAATTAGCTGCTGTTATCAAATTAGAAACCAATTCTTTCTCCTCTTGTAAGGGAATTATATTATCATGTATAAGTAATAATGGTAATTTTGGTGTAATCTCAGTCTCTATTTTGATTATTGCTCTTATTTCTTTGAATATGCTTTCCCAAAATTTTTGTATAATGTTACATGACCACCACATCTGAAAATACGTCCCTATTTCCTGACAACCTCTCCAGCACTGATTTGAATATTTTTTTTATCAATCTGATTTAATCTAATAGGAGTTAGATACCACCATATCATTTTGTAGTAATTTTCTTTAATTCTTCTAGACATATTTTTGGTATTCTCATATTCCATATGTTTGCCCATTCGTGATTATTTATTTTCCCCCCAAGTCTGTTTCCCATACTTCCTTCAAATAATCTTGTTCCTGTTCATTCATTAATAATAGTTTATAGACATCACTTACTGTGCCTTTTAATGTTATATTATCTTCTTTAGTCTCCCTTTGAGTTATCATCTTTTCCATTTTTGTATATTTCCTACCTCCATTATATTTTTTCCTTATATCACTTGACCATTTACCCAACTGTAGATACTTATACCAATCTAAGTCTCCTAATTCCTCTTTTATTCTTTCCATATTTACCATTTTCAGATCCCAGTCTTTTATTTTCATTAAATTAGAAATGCAATTAGAATACATTTTTATAGGGGTAATAGAGAAAAGGGTAAAAAGAAATGGTATAACAATTTAAACAATCCCTTTTAAAAGTATTTTAGAGATTTGGGGGAGATATATATATATATATAAAAACCCTAATACCAGGTATTTCTCCTATCATGCCAGTTTTAATGACAGAAAACTTCCCAGAAATTTTTTAAAAAGAACTTGAAGTAGAACTTAATGGAAGAGGTTTAATGAAACTATTGTGCTATATTTGTATATTGAACATGTTGGCATTTATGTGTTTCACAGATATGCCAGAATGGTGTAATGATTTGAGCACTGGACTTCAACTCTGGAGACGAGGGTTTGAATCCCCGCTCAGTCATAGAACTCAGTGGGTAATCACATTCTTTCAGTCATGAAGAAAGACAAAAGCAACCCCCTCTGAACGGTTACAGTAAGTTGTAGCAGGACCATGTGTGTGTTGAAGAAAAACCTTATGATGGTAATTATTATGTGCAGCTGGTAATGTAGGTCAACCAGCAATCTTGGACTACACCCGATAGGGTATAACTGTATGAATTTTTAGAATACTGTTCTGGGGAGCTTTTTCTCTGAGGAGATCTATGCTCAATGGCTCTGATCTGAGGAGCAGATTGGAGAGAAGCCGTTATGCTGCTCTAAAGGAGGCTATGGTGGAATAGCTGTTTGCTCAAGGTTTATGTTTTGCTTTCTCATTTGACTTAAGATGAAGATGCCTTATTTTGTGTTACTTACAAAGACTATGTAAGTTTCTTGCACTGTTTGTTTTTGTATGCAACATTGCAAGTTTGTGTTTCATCTCTGCTATTAAGAGTAAAGATTTTTCTGTTCATCTCTACTCTTGTCTGTGTGCCTTGTGCATGGGACGTGGCTAAGATCCACTTGCTGCCATGAAAACTCTCTGATAGGTTCATCTTAGAGCAGGCATGGGCATACTTCACCCCTCCAGGTGTTTTGGACTTCAACTCTCACAATTCCTAACAGCCTGTGTTAGGAATTGTGGGAGTTGAAGTCCAAAACACCTGGAGGGCCGAAGTTTGCCCATGACTGTCTTAGATTCACCAAAACTCAGAAACAACTCCAAGGCACACAGTAAGAGCAAGATAAACATGCTCGTGGAAAATTTGGAATCATCACTATATGCCATCTGTTTGTGATTTATTTACAATATATACATTTCACACCATCATGTTTGTTGGTTAGCACTTTAAAGGTGTGTTCAGTACTGTGGTCTCATTGGTTGTTTGGTTAATGTTGGTTCAAAAGCAACAAGTCTTCCTTCAACGTTCTTGATGCCCTTCTCCTTATGCTTTCAACTGACTAGGTAATTAACCTTGGATGGGTGCATACCAGAACAGGGGCAAAAGTTTAATTAACATTGCCTCTATTTATATATCCATATGACTTTTTGTGTCCCTTGGTGTACCGAAAGGGGTAAAAGTAATCTAACTCAAACCTAAATGTACATGCAAGGTGGGGAGTTAGCTTTGCTGATTGAACTTGATGTTCAATAGTCCTTGAACCGTGTGCCTCCTTTGTTGGCTTGTTTTGATATCAAATTTGCTCTCATTAGGGGAGAAAGTACCATCAGTCCTTGATGCTGGTCATTATGTCAATTGCCATTGTTACCAAGTGACCATTTTCTCCTCTTTTCTCCCAAATATACTAGATTTCATCTTTAAAATCACCTCTTTTCCTTAGCATTATATTACATGAATCTGTGATCTTGTATTCAACCTTCCCAAACTGATTTATGTAATTCTGTCTAGAAAACAGTCTCTATGCACTTTATCAGAGATCTAGGATACCTATATGCCCACCCCACTCCAAACACCCCACCTGGTCATGCCCAGCACTTTTTAACTTTTCATTACATTTCACCCTGCCATTGTTTTTAATTGCGTCACTGTGTGTTGCTAATGTTATTGCCTTGTCTTTTTGAGTTATTGCTGTTGTTATTGTTTTACTATTGTATTTGGGCTCGGCCTCTTGTAAGCCGCACCGAGTCCTTCGGGAGATGGTAGCGGGGTACAAATAACGGATTATTATTATTATTATTATTATTATTATTATTATTATTATTATTTTAGGGGTAGAATCTGACAGAGATCAAGAGAAGTCTCAATACAGTCAGTATTGTTATATTACTTAGAACCCACCTTTCTTCCTGGATCGAGACCCAAAGTGGCTAAATGCATATGCTTGATTTTCTCTGGATCATGACCAAGATTTGTACAGTGTTCCCTCGCTACTTTGCGGTTCATTTTTCGCCGACTCGCTGTTTTGCAGTTTTCCAGGTGAGTGAGCAAGTGAGGGAGGATTGGTGAGCGAGTGAGCAAGGGTGGCAAGGGCAGCGGCAGCAGAAGCAGGAGCCTGGCCACCACTCGCTCACTACTCACCGGGCCTAGTCCTGGTTCTGCCATCGGGACACAGTCTAGTGAGTAGCAAGTGAGTGAGGGTGGATGAGCGAGTGAGGAAGGGAGGGCTGCAAAGGCAGAAGCAGCAGCAGAAGCAGGAGCCTGGGAGAGATGGCCAGGCTCCTGCTTCTGCCACCGCTGCTACCCTGCGGCCCTCGCTCTCTCTCTCTCATCTGGCTCTCATTAGAGGAGTCCCAGCAGCAGAACCAGGACTGGGTCCGATGAGTAGCAGGTTGGGAGGGGGGGGGGGAGAGCAAGCGAGCGAGGGTGGCAAGGGCAGCAGTGGCAACAGAAGCAGGAGTCTGGCCACCTCTTCCAGGCTCCTGTTCCTGCCGCAGCTTCAATCTTTGCAGCCCTCCCTCCCTCGCTCACTCACCTGCCTTCCCTCGCTCGCTACTCACTGTGCCGTGTCCCAGTGGCAGAACCAGGACTCAGCCCATTGAGTAGCAAGTGAGGGAGGATGGGTGGGTGGGTGAGTGAGGGAGAAGCAGCTCTACGGCATATAGCAACCCTACTTCACGGATTTTCACTTATTGCGGGTGGTCCTGGAACATAACACCCGTGATAAGTGAGGGAACACTGCATTTGGGTTCAGAGCATTGTAGAACTTGCTCAAGAGGATGTTCATCATCTTCAGAATGCTACAGAGGAGTGTTGTTCCATTAAAATCTCCCAGAGATTTTTTTCAGACTACATCTTCCTGAATATCCCAACCAGCACAACTCTTGGCTATTTTGTCATGGGGATTCTGAGTGCTGTAAAACCAAAAGATAACTTTTCAAAGTTTTCTTACTTCTGGAAGATTTACTTTAGATATAGCATTAAAGCGGCCAGCTCTAAGTGGTCACTCCCATTAACATTCTTTCTTTTCCCAATGTATTTCTCCACAATGCCCTGCAGTGGCATGAAGGAAAGATCTGGAGCAGAACCAAAGGGATTTTTATATTTCATTTATATTGTGGCTCTGTTTAGCATTTTGTGTGGTCTTCTGGGAATCCCAACCCTCTACAGAAACACAAGAAACAGTAACTTAAGCAGGGCTGCTCAACCTGTAGCCTTCCAGATACCATTGGGCTGCAATTCAAATCAATAATAGCCAGCATAGACATCTCTGAACTTTATAATATATATGACCTTATACAGATTGCTGAGACATGTGTTATTGCTAATGAAGGAAGTCGCTGTAACTGTGCATTGTGAATACATTAATGTGTTACAGATATGTATATATGAGTTACAAATAATAAGTTGCTAAAAGGTGTGAGAGAGAAATGGAAAGGAAAAACAATTTTTCTCAGTGGAAAAACCTGAAGATTTTCTTGGTTTCTGTCCTCCCTTTCAAACATAGAAATATACAAGCACTAGTTTTAATACTATATTTGGTCCTCCACAATTGTGGTTTTAATTTCTGCAGATGTGATTGTTTGTGTTTTGATTAATATGGTTTCTCTAGAAATCTCAAGAGCAACTCTATGGTTAACTTCGGGCAGAGGTTCCTAGAAAGGTGTTCTCTCATTTTTTTTAAATAGCAATTTTTAATTTGTGGGTTTTTAACTTTTCTAGAGGTCCTGCACCACTAAATCCAGTAAATCTGAAGGGCAAATTGTATTGCATTTGGAATTAAATGCTTTTATCTCTATTTTTTTTAAAAAAAGAAAAGACAAATGCAGTCAGTTTTACAATGTCAAAGTCAATTAGGCCTGGCCATGTGCACATTGCTTTACCACTGGCTAAATGTTCAAGGTTTGTTTGAGGTGCACCCACCTCCCTTGAGGCTACAGAGCTATATGGAGATGACCGGAGAGACAGGTAAGGGACAACAAGCTAAACCAAACCAAATCAAACACAAACATGGATTACAATGAAAGAAAATGGTCATGAAATGGGAGACTTACGGTGACTTTTGGGTTCGCTTACAAATCTTTTATCTGTTAGGGAAAAGTTGGAGAAAAAAAAAGGTTGACAAAAATGAGGATGTGCCAATGAAGATGGTAATAAAAGAAAACAAAGGGCAGACTGGCAAACTTAAGGGAAAGGGTAGAATGAAAATGTAAACATGATGCAACAATTCACACAGAAACTATAAGGAGAATGAAGTGACATAGATTGGATATAAGCCATAAACAGCAGGTGGCTCACAAAATTGCTCCAAAGCTCTTGTTTCACAAGTATTTGCACTTTTCTAGGTGCTCACAAACACCAGCACTGCATTCCTGCAATGTTATAGTGAATAATAATAATAATAATAATAATAATAATAATAATAACAACAACACTTTATTTGTACCCCGCTACCATCTCCCCAAGGGACTCGGTGCGGCTTACATGAGGCCGAGCCCAAACACAACAATACAGTCAATAATCACAACAATACAAGCAATTAAAATCAAACATAAACGATAAACATATAACATTCTCAATAAGACAACATACAGTTAAAACTGTGGGAAGGCCAAATGTAAAAATTAAAATTGGAAGTAGTGCTGAGGCATGTACGAACAGGTGATAATGGCGTTTGTGGAAGACATACAAGCAAACCTAATAGTATAAAGTGCTTTGGAGGGACAAAGTGCTATGGGATCAATAATAATAATAATAATAATAATAATAATAATAATAATAATAATCTTTATTTATATCCCATCCCCTCTCCAAAAGAACTCAGGGCAGTTTACAACAAATAAATATAAAATCAAGCAAGAATAAAAACATAACACATAATATATAATGTCATCATTACCACATCATAGAAATATCATCAACATAGCCAAATCTGCTGGACCACTATGTGTGAATGCAGCATTTGTATAAACATGATTATACATACGCTGTATCTATAATCATGTTTATACATATGCTATATAATCCCACATTATGTAGGGCATTCCACTATTTGAATGATTCTCAGAGGCATGTTCTCTAAGGCACCCTCTGTATGAAAGGTCACACAATCCTAGCATTGTACTCCAATAAGGACCACACAACTTCAAATGCATCAAGCAAATCCCTTTTTGTTGGTCATCTGTGATAGACTATCAAGGGCTTGATAAACCTTCTCCTTCCGTTGTCTATGACTAATAAAAGCATGAAGAGGAGGTAAGAGCTCTTACAAGCATCTGGGTGACCAGAATATATGTCTTCTGGGGACACATTTTGGGTTTGTAATTTTTTTTTTGTCGTGTCAGGAGCATCCTGTTGTGAGAGAATTGGCCGTCTGCAAGGACGTTGCCCAGGGGATGCCCAGATGATTTTTGATGTTTTATCATCCTTGTGGGAGGTTTCTCTCATGTCCCCGTATGAGGAGCTGGAGCTGATAGAGGGAGCTCATCCACCTCTCCCTGGATTCGAACCTGTGACCTGTCGGTCTTCTGTCCTGCTGGCACAGGGTTTTAACCCACTGCGCCACCGGGGGCTCCTTGGTTTGTAAATAATATGGTGTGTAAACCCAATTTACTGGTATATGGTGGAACTGCAAATCTAAGGATGTATTCAAAGGAATGGTTCTTCCATGCCATTTGTCACTGATGGTCATGCAGGGAGTTGTCACCTTTACTATGTCCTATGATATCTTCTTGTCTTTGTTCACTGCCCCACTTCTGGTCTCTCTGCATCCCACTTCTCAGCCAAAGCTTGTAATGTTTCTCATTAAGAGAGACACACAGCTTCCTGCAACTCATCCAGCTGGAAGTGTTGAGTCGCCACTTTTCTTGGGTATCTTATTTTCCCACCTTCATGGCTCATGACTTTCTTAGTTTATGTGATCAGTTGTAGTTCTGGACCATTCATTCATCACAGCCACCTGATCAGTTTCTCCTGCAGAAAGCTGAATCACCAGGATAGCGAAGGTTACTGCACTCTCCCTCACCCCCCAGTGTGGAAAAGCTAAGTTTGGGACTATAGATTCTTCTTATAAAGTCACATTCTTGGAGTTATAGCTTTTCTGAGCCATAAAAAATCCTGAATTGAAAAGGTTACAGGCACATTGGTGTGTAAACACTAAGGAATAATTCAAGGGAAGTGCTTTATATTTCCTTGCCCTCCTTTTCTCCTAATAGGGAAAATATTTCAGCATTGTTTTCCATTCAACCTACCACAATTTCTCATATTGCATTCCATGCCTTCAATAACATGTCCAGTGGGAAGGGTTTCTGACACTGACTTGCATCATGTGTTCCCAGGAGCTGATGTTGCTGACTTGTTGCCAATACAAGAGCAATTTGTCTTTAGACAATATACACTGAGGATATCTGAGGCCCATTGGAGGGAAGGCAGCACAAGGTGTTACAGTATCTCTCCCCCCCCCCCCGAACCAATCACGATATATATTTTCTGTTCGTCGTGGGAGATCTGTGTGCCATATTTGGTTCAATTCCATCATTGGTGGAGTTCAGAATGCTCTTTGATTGTAGGTGAACTATACATCCCAGTAACTACAACTCGCATATGTCAAGGTCTATTTTCCCCCAAGAGCGCCTCAAGAGCACCTCTGGGCAAAATCAACTATACTGCAAATGCTTACTTTGCGTAATGCGTTGAGCCGCCCGTGCCTGTGGGCTGAATTCAGCCCACCGCATCATTTCCTGTAACCCTCAAGGCTTTCAATGCCAGGGCAACATAGTTACCTTTATACAGTCTTACAATTACAACCAGCCCTTTGAAGGCAACCATTAAGGAGCTCCACTGGCTGCCGTTCATTTACTGGACCCAATTCAAGCTTCTTACCTACAAAGCTCTAAACGGTTTGGGACCCGCCTATCTACGTGACCACATTTCTGTGTACGAACCCACATGATCTCTTTGATCATCTGGAGAGGCCCTGCTCGCGCTCCCACCTCTGTCGCAGGTGCAACTGGTGGGGACAAGGGAGAGGGTTTTCTTGGTGGTGGCCCCTCGTCTCTGGAATTCACTCCCTAAGGACATTAGGCATGCCCCAACCTTGGCAGTCTTTAGGAGGAGTCTGAAAGCGTGGTTATTCCAATGTGCCTTCCCAGAATAAGAATCTCCTAGCAATCTGTCCTTAAATGCACTTTATTAATGACCTAGGATTGTTTTTGCACGCCCATCACTTCCCGGAAATCCACCCTAATCATATTTTACCTGCCATGTCCAGCATATTTTAAATTTTAAATTATTACATTTGGCCCAGCCATAAGTTTTTAAATGTCGTCATGCTATTGCTAATGTTTATTTGCTGTTATGAGTTTTATTTACTGCTTGTATTATTGTTGGTTTTGCTTGTTATTGCTGTGTCGTGGGCTCGGCCTCATGTAAGCCACACCGAGTCCCTTGGGGAGATGGTAGCAGGGTACAAATAAAGTGTTGTTATTATTATTATTATTATTATTATTATTATTATTATTATTATTATTAGGCTGATCTGGTGAAAATGAGTTTGACACCCCTGCTATAGAATCTCTCCTCTGACCAACCCTGCTATACATGATAACTGTTTTTCTTTTATTTAGCCCATCTCACAGTTATTGCAAAGGTGGGCAACTCTGTTCTCCCATAATATTTTGGCCTTCCGTTCTGATCAGCCCTAGCTAGCATAGCTTACTATGGAAGTGTAACCAAACTATCTGGTAGGCCTCTGGCTTACAGCTCACATGTATGCATGGCTTGTGGATTTCTAGAAACAGGAATAAATGATTACTTAGCTAAGCAATAGGACAAAAGGATGTCAAGGTCGGTCAGATGTGGCCTACATGTAACAAGTTGGCAAAGGGATCCTTATCATCTTAGAGGGAAAAAGTTGGTAGCATATGCTTTCGTGTATCAAAGGAGTTGTAATTTTACAAGGCTTTAATAATAATAATAATAATAATAATAATAATAATAATAATAATAAACATTATTTATATTCCGCTCTATCTCCCCAAAGGGATTCCAAACATAAAAGCCAAACATTCAATGCCCGAATGAACCCCCCGAGTGAACCCCCCGAATGACGCAGTGGGTTAAACCCCTGTGCCGGCAGGAGTGAAGACCGACAGGTCGCAGGTTTGAATCCGGGGAGAGGCAGATGAGCTCCCTCTATCAGCTCCAGCTCATCATGCAGGGACATGAGAGAAGCCTCCCACATGGATGATAAAACATCAAATCATCTGGGCGTCCCATGGGCAACGTCCTTGCAGACGGCCAATTCTCTCACACCAGAAGTGACTTGCAGTTTCTCAAGTCGCTCCTGACACGACAAAAAAAAATATATGCCCGAATACATTCAGTAGCCTTTATTTCGGTCAACAAACCATCAGCTAAGTCAAGTGAAAGTAGAATGATGAAATACAACAATTAACAATAACATCACATTTGGCTTATAATTAATAAAAACAAGTATCACCATTCGCTATCGGATGAGTGACTGTCTATATAATCTAAAACAGGAACTGATTGCAAATTAATAATAAGTCTCCCGAGTACTCTTTGTTACAACAACAACACATCCATACTAACAAAATTTATACAACCCAATATATAAATACAAATTAGAACTTAACTAACTAAAATTAAACAAAAAACATAGCCTGTTATAACGGACATAAGACAAAACATCAAATGGGAACAATAATTTCCCATTTCTTTGGGGCAAATGGATTAATCATTGCTCAAGATATCTATTGAGCTGGTGAGGTGAGCAGGGCACGGATACAGATGGCAACTATTAATCAGAGGTACCAACTACAATTCCTCCTCCTCATAAGCCAGTGAGCAAAGGTATGTCTTCAGCTGTTTTTTGAAAGCGGGGAGGGAGGGAGCCATCTTTAACTCCTTAGGAAGGGAGTTCCAGAGGTGAGGGGCAGCCCTTTCTCTCGTTCCTACCAGCCATGCTTGGAACGGGGGTGGAACTGAGAGGAGGACCTCCTCTGATGACCACAGTGTCCCAGTTGGACTGTAGAGGGAGATGCGGTTTGTCAAATAGTCTGGACCTAAGCCGTTTTAGTTTTCTTTGCCAAAGAGTGCTGTTACCTTACTGTTCTGTCGCGCGCTGGGCTTGAAACGAATTGCTTTTAAAACAGGACGTACAACTTTAGCCCAGCAGGAAGCCAGGGGGCCCGAAGAAAAATTCACAAGGATTTTCACCATAAACAGTCTCTAGTGGGCTTGTAAAATATAACAAAGTCTTTTATTGGTGAACAATCAACAGAAACTTCTTTTGTCTTCAAAAGGTTAAACAAATGCTTCCAGGCTTTGTGCAACTGGTGGCTTCTGTTACTTTACTCTAAAAGAAAATCCCTTTCCAAACTTCTCCCAGGCTAACTGTGAACCTAAACCTAACTGACGTGGATCCACTACCGGGCTGAACTGCGTCTCAAAACTGAGTGGACCTACCAGTAGGCCTGTAGTCACTTAGCTGGAGTTCTTGATGTTTAAGGCTGTTATTCCCTCCAAAATTCCTCAGGGCTGTAAGGCTGTTTCCCTGGGTTCCCTGGGAACCTTTGGGAATCTTTAGATTCTCTTAAGATTGTTCTCCCCCGGGAAGTCTTAAGGGTGGAAGCCTTTGTACAGGAGAAAGTCTGTACACGTCCTGTACATTAACTTTCCTTGCTGAGACTGACTGAAAATGGCTCCCTTCCCTTCTCAATTGTCCTGAACAGGGGGCGGAACCAAACTTAACGATGATGGACAGGGGGCCTGCCCTATAACTGCAAACTTTAACAGGAAGCCACCCTTCTGCAGAATCTGCAAGCAAACACTTAATACAAGGCAAATAAAGTGGGAGCTTCTGGTACAACTGTACCAGCACACTTACTAAACTAAAACTCCCATGACCCCATTGTAATGAGCTGTGGTAGTTAAAATGGTGTCAAACTGCATTCATTTAGCATTTTACCTCCTCAATTGCATGAGGAAGTAAACTATGAGGCTTATGCTATCAGTTTCATTCTCTCATTTAATCTCTAGGGTGCTATAAGATCCCTTTGAATGTTGATATTCCTGATTTAGCCTGGCCACGTCTTTGAATTGTACCCACAATGAAAAATGTGCAACCTTTCCAACATGCCTTTGGAATTTCCATTTTGGATTGCTGCTTCTCCTTTTTTTTTTTTGGAGAAGAACAAGCATTTGGGCAGTATGTTGCTAACTGTATGAGGTTGATGATCTGCAGCAGCTATTCAAGCCATTTCTCAAGACCAAGTGAACAATTAATGCAGAGACTGCAAGAGAGAGATTGCATGTTTGCTCTCTTTTGAAAGTTGTAGGGTTCAAAAACTGATGGAAGTGTTTAGGGGGAAATGGCTCACAACCAGCAGTTCTTGCCTCTGGATGCGTTGCTGCCTGTTTTCTTCTCAGCACCTTTTGCCAGCTAAGCACTCATCGCCAAGAGCAGGCAGGCAGGCTGGCACAGTACACAGCTTGATTCTGCCTGCAAACTGCACCCGACCTCAACTGTCATGATGCCTTAATTTTTTTCTAGCAATGAGCTTCTCCAGAGCCAGCAGCTACTACTGAAAGGCAAAATGTATTTTTTTGGTTTTTTTAAAAATGGAAACCATGTCTCTGCACAGGATCCCCCAACCCCCTCTTCTGCCATCTGCCAACACGGGTCAATCTGATGATTTCATTGAAGGTGACACATAAGCAGCCATACAACCAGGGCAAAAGGTAGGAGTGCAGCATTTTGTAGGGGATGACATTCTTGGAGCATGAGATTTGGGTCCAGGGAGAAACAATAAAAGGTATCTTAATAGAAATCCACATGGCAACAGCAGGTGGCAGCATGAACACAATAAAATTGGATTCAAAAACTGAATCTTCCTCATAAATGAGGATATTTTCATAGCAAAGTTTGTGTCTCTGCTTATTTGGGAAAGATTTGTAAGATTAGCCAAAGGGAGTACTGAATATACAATTTTTCTCAATTTCTCAACTGTACGTAGAATCATAGAATTATAGAGTTGGAAGAAACCTCATGGACCATCCAGTCCAACCCCCTGCAAGGAAGCAGGAAAACTGCATTCAAAGCACCCCCAACAGATGGTCATCCAGCCTCTGTTTAAAAGCTTCCAAAGAAGGAGCCTCTACCACACTCCGGGGCAGAGAGTTCCACTGCTGAACAGCTCTCACAGTTAGGATTCCTAATGTTCAGATGGAATCTCCTTTCCTGCAATTTGAAGCCAATTTTCTGCATCCTATTCTCCAGGGCAGCAGAAAACAAGCTTGCTCCCTCATCCCTATGACTTCCTCTCACATATTTATACATGGCTATCATGTCTCCTCTCAGCCTTCTCTTCTTCAGGTTAAACATGCCCAGCTCTTTAAGCCGCTCTTCATAGGGCTTGTTCTCCAGACCCTTGATCATTTTAGTCGCCCTCCTCTGGACACATTCCAGCTTGTCAATATCTCTCTTCAATTGTGGTGCCCAGAATTGGACACAATATTCCAGGTGTGGTCTAACCAAGGCAGAATAGAGGGGTAGCATAACTTCCCTGGATCTAGATACTATATCCCTATTGATGCATTGGCTTTTTTTGCCGCCCCATCACATTGTTGGCTTATGTTTAACTTGTTGTTCACAAGGACCCCAAGATCTTTTTCACACGTACTGCTCTTGAGTCAGGCGTCTCCCATTCTGTATCTTTGCATTTCATGTTTTCTGCCTAAGTGGAGTATCTTGCATTTGTCCCTATTGAACTTCGTTTTGTTAGTTTTGGCCCACCTCTCTAATCTGTTCAGATTGTTTTGAATTCTGCCCCTGTCTTCTGGAGAATTGGCTATCCCTCCCTTTGGCTGAATTATGTTATATCTATGTTCCCCCCACCCTTATTACTTTATAACATTGCCTTCACATTTGCCTTTCGCTTTCCTTTTTCTCCCATTTTGTGAGGATTTGTAAAAAGGCACCATGATATAAATGGGTTTACTGGAGAGACATGTGTCGGCAGCTGATTGGATGAGCATGCCAGGAGCCAGAATTCTGATTGGCAACTGTCTCTGGCTTGCTGCTGAGACAAACGGTTTTAACTGCCACTTTTGACTCGGAAAGTGAGGAGAGCGCTGACTGGAAACAGCCAGGAAGGAAATGGCTGCCAACTCTCTGAAGCCTGATAATTTCTAAGGCATGAAGCATATTCAAAAGGACTGTTTATTCCCTCTGTTCTCTGTAATAATTCGGAGAGATTGCTGTATATATTTTTGTTGTTTGATCTTTTCAACTGAAGTAAAGTTTCTATTACTCGTTACACAAATTTGAGTGAAACATTATTATACTGCAGGATATATTTTGCTTCAGAAACAGTGGTAAAGCTTCTGTTTATTTACATTTGCAACCTCCAATGCATTTTGCTAAAGCAAGTTAACTTACTTTGCATACAGAGTCCATCGGTGCAGTTTTTGGAGTCGAGCAGCACTCCACTGCAGTCTTTGCCTCCATTTTTGGGAGATGGGGCCATGCACTCTCTGCTCCTCCAGTGCGTGCATTCTGTGCTACAAGCAGACCACTTGCTCCATTCGGTCCAAGCTCCATCTACTGCTCTCCAGGAAAAAAGACAATCAAGCACAAAGAGTAGACAATCAGAGACCCATCGGGACACAAAGGAGGGATAGGGAAATAAAAGGAAAACAAACTCTTGCAAGATTATCTATTTATCTATTTAAAGGTGCACAAACCATTGTGTTTTTGAAAAACAGCCCAAATACCTTTTCTGGCAGGTGAATCATAGAATCAAAGAGTTGGAAGAGACCTCATGGGCCATCCAGTCCAACACCCTTCCAAGAAGCAGGAATACTGCATTCAAATCACCCCTGACAGATGGCCAAGCTTCCAAAGAAGGAGCCTCCACCACACTCCAGGGCAGAGAGTTCCACTCCTGAATGGCTCTCACAGTCAGGAAGTTCTTCCTCATGTTCAGATGGAATCTCCTCTCTTGTAGTTTGAAGCCATTGTTCCGCGTCCTAGTCTCCAGGGAAGCAGAAAACAAGCTTGCTCCCTCCTCCCTGTGGCTTCCTCTCACATATTTATACATGGCTATCATATCTCCTCTCAGCCTTCTCTTCTTCAGGCTAAACATGCCCAGCTCCTTAAGCCGCTCCTCATAGGCTTGTTCTCCAGACCCTTGATCATTTTAGTCGCCCTCTTCTGGACACATTCCAGCTTGTCAATATCTCTCTTGAATTGTGGTGCCCAGAACTGGACACAATATTCCAGATGTGGTCTAACCAAAGCAGAATAGAGGGGTAGCATTACTTCCCTAGATCTAGAGGCACTATGCTCCTATTGATGCAGGCCAAATCCCATTTATTTTTTTTGCCACCACATCATATTGTTGGCTCATGTTTAACTTGTTGTCCACAAGGACTCCAAGATCTTTTTCACAAGTTCTCTTTCTCGAGCCAGGCATTGTCCCCCATTCTGTATCTTTGCATTTCGTTTTTTCTGCCTAAGTGGAGTATCTTGCATTTGTCACTGTTGAACTTCCTTTTATTAGTTTTGGCCCATCTCTCTAATCTGTCAAGATCGTTTTGAATTCTGCTTTTGAATTCTGGTGAAATGCTGCTCTCTAACCCTTAGTGTGATGACAATTCTGATGAAATCCTATAGAAATGTTATACCCTATTCCCCCCCCCACTTCCCCCCACTTCCTCACTCTTATCTCTTATTCCTACTGTCTATCCTAACTATTGTTCCCCCACTTTTAATGTATTCAGAAATTCACAATAAAAAGAATTAAAAAAAAGAAATGTTATACAAATAAAAATGCACATAAATTCTTATGTATGGCATTCATACAGGCATGAATTTAATCAAATACACCCATGTTGCAAAACCAGGGCTGAAAGCTGCTACCTATCATCTAAGCCAGGGGTCCTCAAACTAAGGCCCAGGGGTCGGATGCGGTTCTCCAAGGTCATTTACCCGGCCCTCGCTCAGGGTCAATCTAAGTCTGAAATGACTTGAAAGCACACAACAACAACAACAACAACACCCCTATCTTTCATCAGCCAAAAGTAGGCCCACATTCCCCATTGAAATACAAATAAGTTTATATTTGTTAAAATTGTTCTTCATTTTAATTATTGTATTTTTAAGTGTTTTTTGCACTACAAATCAGTTATGTGCAGTGTGCATAGGAATTCATTCATTTTTTTTTCCAAATTATAATCCGGCCCTCCAACAGTTTGAGGGACTGTGACCTGGCCCTCTGTTTAAAAAGTTTGATGACCCCTGATCTAAGCAGAACAAGTTGTCTTCTCTGTTACATATAATTAATTTCCTATACCTAAATGTTTTTATGCAAATATGTCTTCCCTTATGTGTCTGCATGTTGGAGACTATACCAGCATGATATAGTCTTCAGGCACAAAGATGTCGATTGAATTGTCATAACACTAAGGGGTAGAGAGCAGCATTTCAGCATTTAGAGCTCTTCACATGCTTTTTCTGTGTTACCACCTTGTAACATAGGTCAATACAATCAATTCCTTACTGCTAATAATAGAGTGGGGTGAGAAACCATGGTTTGCCCTAGGCTACATACAGAATTAAGAGGGTGTTCTGATATCTGAAATGGGAACTTCCAAGTTCATAGAGCTATAGCTACCACACTGGCTCAGTCTGAAAGTGCTGTCTTTTGTTACCATTGCACCATTTGCTAGTTCTTTATGCAGTTATTTTCTTGAGCTGTTTTTATTTTTATTTTTGTCGTGTCAGGAGCGACTTGAGAAACTGCAAGTCACTTCTGGTGTGAGAAAACTGGCCATCTGCAAGGATGTTGCCCAGGGGACGCCTGGATGCTTCTGATGTTTTATCATCCTTGTGGGAGGCTTCTCAAATGTCCCCGTATGAGGAGCTGGAGCTGATAGAGGCAGTTCGTCCACGCTCTCCCCGGATTTGAACCTGCGACCTGTCCGTCTTCAGTCCTGCCGGCACAAGGGTTTAACCCACTGCGCCACCGGGGGTTCCTCTCTTGAGCTGGCGATTGACCGTAATCAAAAGAACGCCAAATGTAATTTTTTTATAACAATATAGAATGTTATCGACTTTATTAGCATAGTTAATCCTTCACATTTGCAGATTTAACTTTTGCACATTTTATCATCCACAATTGGATTGATATGTTATCTCTAAGATAACATAAGGGCCTTCTCGGTGGTGGCCCCCTCGCTTTGGAATGCCCTGCCAAGGGAGATTAGGCTAGCCCCCACTCTCCAAGCCTTTCGTATACAACTGAAGACATGGCTGTATTGACAAGCCTTTGACAATGTTTAGAGTCCCTTGATGGATATATTTAAGGACCTAGAGACTATTTCACCGTGTACTTTATGAGACTGATATGTATTTATTTACGGGGTTACATCCCGTATAGACTACTGCAATGTTTTCTACGTGGGGTTGCCTCTGAAGACTGCCCGGAAGCTTCAACTAGTCCAACGAGCGGCAGCCAGATTACTAACAGGAGCTGGGTACAGAGAGCATACTACTCCTCTGCTGCGTCAGCTCCACTGGTTGCCAATTAGCTTCCGAGCACAATTCAAAGTGCTGGTACAGACCTATAAACCCCTAAACGACTCCAGTCCAGTTTACCTGTCTGAACTGATTGTCCCCTATGAACCATCAAGGTTGTTAAGATCTTCTGGAAAGGCCCTGCTCTCGGTCCCACTACCCTCGCAATCACGTTTGGTGGGGATGAGGGACAGGGCCTTCTCGATGGTGGCCCCTTGGCTCTGGAACTCTCTCCCACTGGAGATTAGATCTGCCCCTTCCCTCCTGACTTTCAGAAAGCTGGTAAAATCTTGGCTTTGGAATACAGCATTTGCAGAATGATGATCGAGTCAATAACTGCTGACCACACTGACAGATGGTGATGAATTTGTGATTTACTTTGACGACCTGGCTTTTTATAATTGTATGATCTGTATTTTAATGTATTTTATGTATTAATGTATTACAATGCTATTATGTTTATCCTACTTGTGTATGAATTTCCTGCTGTTAGCCGGCCTAAGTCCCTCTTCGGAGGTCGAGAAGACAAGATTATAAAAGCTCTAAATAAATAAATATTAAATAAACGGCAAACACTCAATGCTGTTTTTGACATACAAGACATACAGACAGATAGAGGTCATTCAGCAGTTTTTCCACTTTGGATCCTGGAGGTTGCTCAATTCCAGCCACAGGGGGGAGCTGTCACTTCATCCATTATGACGCCGAGCCTTTTGATCGCAGTATGTCCTCCTTGCACTCCAGCATTTTTATGGTGTCATAAATTAATCTCCCCACTTTTAAGCGGTCCCTAATTTCTCTACTCACAGCACAGCCGTTTTCAAACTGCTTAGGTGAACAGTAAGCTGGGCTATTTAACAGTTGGGAGCTCAACCGCAACTCAGGCTTCGAACTTACCACCTTTTTGGTTGAAAGTGATTTACTGCAGATTTGGTTGGCAGATATTGATTGAAGTTGTTTTATACCTGCAACTATTGTTGCTTTTTACTGATTTTAATCAGGGGGTTATGATGCTTATGTTGGTTGTTATCTCTTTTATGTTATGTCTGTACCTTTGAGTCCCTTTGGGAGATAGTGACTATAAATTAATTGTTGTTGTTGTTGTTGTCTCTAGGCCCACCAATGCAAAACTGTCATCAGTTTCTGATTGATGTTGACCAAAGAATGATGCTGGAGGACCAAGAGATTCCTTAGAAGGCATGATCATCAAGTTTGCAGACAACACCAAATTGGGAGGGAGAGCCAATACTCCAGAGGACAGGAGAAGAATTCAAAACAATCTTGACAGATTAGAGAGATGGGCCAAAACTAACAAAATGAAGTTCAACAGGGACAAATGCAAGATACTCCACTTTGGCAGGAAAAACGAAATGCAAAGATACAAAATGGGGGATGCCTCGTTCGAGAGCAATACGTGTGAAAAGGATCATGGAGTCCTCGTGGACAACAAGTTAAACATGAGCCAACAATGTGATGTGGCGGCAAAAAAAGCCAATGGGATTTTGGCCTGCATCAATAGGAGCATAGTGTCTAGATCTAGGGAAGTAATGCTACCCCTATATTCTGCTTTGGTTAGACCACACCTGGAATATTGTGTCCCATTCTGGGCACCACAATTGAAGAGAGATATTGACAAGCTAGAATGTGTCCAGAGGAGATTTAAGTATGGTGAATGTTGCAGTATGAAGTGATCCTGTTCACCATTCTATTATTCCCCTCCCCAGTTTCTGTCCTTTCTTCCCATAGCTACTGAAATTACCTAAACCTCCTTAGAAAGTCCTTCATGTGACCAGAGTATTTCTTGGGATGTTTTTATGTTTATTGCATTTCTTCAAATCCTGGGTACATACAAACTAGCTGAATATTAAAAATAGTTGTCCTAGGTTGACTAAAATGATCAAGCGTCTGGAGAACAAGCCCTATGAGGAGCGGCTTAAAGAGCTGGGCATGTTTAGCCTGAAGAAGAGAGGGCTGAGAGGAGATATGATATCCATGTTTAATATGTGAGAGGAAGCCGCAGGGAGGAGAGAGCAAGCTTGTTTTCTGCTTCCCTGGAGACTAGGACGCGAAACAATGGCTTCAAACTACAAGAAAGGAGATTCCATCTGAACACAAGGAAGAACTTCCTGACTGTGAGAGCCGTTCAGCAGTGGAACTCTCTGCCCTGGAGTGTGGTGGAGGCTCCTTCTTTGGAAGCTTTTAAACAGAGGCTGGATGGCCATCTGTCAGGGGTGATTTGAATGCAATATTCCTGCTTCTTGGCAGGGGGTTGGACTGGATGGTCCATGAGGTCTCTTCCAACTCTTTGATTCTATGATTCTATGAGAGGTGTTTCCTTGGATAGAAAAAATAATGCTTTTTTCAGTGGGGTCTCCTTCAGGTAAGCCTCTCTCCTATGAAATTGCCTAAGCTTTAGGAATTGTCTCAAAGGACTATCTCTTTGTTCTATAGCCACTGAAAATATGATTTGATACTGTTTTTTTGATATGGTGCCACCAATCTGGACCCCCCCCCCCCACAGGAAGCTTTTTTTTGTGTGTGTGTTGAGGTGAATGTTGAAAATGTATCTATTAAACTCGCTTTTCATATTTAGGATTTAGCTGCTTTAAAGTGATTTTTTTTCCCTGATACTGCAGTTCAACAAACTTATGGCAGTGACAGATAGTGTGTAATTAGATATGCTTTCAATTGCTTCAATCTGATTTGAAGAACTTCAATTGCTTCATCTGGTTGTTGTTTTATTGTTTAACTATTTTGGGTATACTTACATATAGAAAATCCGGGAAATAACCTATATTCAATTTCCATCACCATCATCTAGAAAATATCTCTTTTCTTAGAAAGCTTCAACTCCAATTTTCAACAATGAAGACAGAATAAACTCCCTTGTCAGCAAAGCAAAAGGGAGGGAAGGAAAATAGAATGCTTCTATATATTAAGGCTCAATTAATCAAAGTTGTTCAGACTTTCTTGAAGTAAGAGGATAGCTTAACCAGGAAGTAGTATCTAGAATCATAGAATCATAGAGTTGGAAGAGACCTCATGGGCCATCCAGTCCAACCCCCTGCCAAGAAGCAGGAATCACATTCAAAGCACCCCTGACAGATGGCCATCCAGCCTCTGTTTCAAAGCCTCCAAAGAAGGAGCCTTCCACCACACTCCGGGGCAGAGAGAGAGTTCCACTGCTGAACTCTCACAGTCAGGAATTCTTCCTCATGTTCAGATGGAATTCCCTTTCTTGTAGTTTGAAGCCATTGTTCCCTTGCATCCTAGTCTTCAGGGAAGCAAAAAACAAGCTTGCTCCCTCCTCCCTATGATTTCCTCTCACATATTTATACATGGTATCATATCTCCTCTCAGCCTTCTCTTCTTCAGGCTAAACATGCCCAGCAATTTAAGCTGCTCCTCATAGGGCTTGTTCTCCAGAACCTTGATCATTTTAGTCACCCTAGGACAACTATTTTTTAATATTCAGCTAGTTTGTATGTACCCAGGATTTGAAGAAATGCAATAAACATAAAAACATCTCAAGAAATACTCTGGTCACATGAAGGACATTCTAAGGAGGTTTAGGTAATTTCAGTAGCTATGAGAAGAAAGGACAGAAACTGGGGAGGGGAATAATAGAATGGTGAACAGGATCACTTCATACTGCAGCATTCACCATACTTAAATCTCTTGTTATTCTTATTTATTCCTGTCTATTAGCTGCTTCTTTGGAGGTCCATCAGGAGCTGCACACTCAACTACGCAACATGAACATGCATGGATCAAGCACGTAGAACTCACGTATTGGATTGGATCTGGGGTCCACTTACCTGGGCACATGGTGGTACAGACAAGCTTCTGTAAGGACTGTCCATCACAAACAGAGCCACCATTAAGAGGTGCTGGATTGGTGCAGGTCCGGCTGCGTTTCTGCCATCCACGGCCACAGCGATTGCTGCACAGGGACCATTCTGACCAGGTTGACCAGCCCCCATTCACTATGACAAATGGAAATAAATGTTTCGGCATAAGAAAATTGTAAGGAAACAACAAATGAGTAATTATAGCACATTAGTAGCAACTGAACCCTAAGAATTTATCCACTTCTTTGGTCAATTGCTATCTTACAACAATGTCTGGGGATCAACTCCCTGTTCCTGGCACTTTCCAGGGGCCACATAGATTACCAGGAAATGAAAAAAAACAAAACAAAAAAAACCATGAAAACAAATGTGGAAGTATCCAGAAATCATTTTCTGGGTTTGACAACATAGTAGTTTTAAAATGTTAAAATAGCGCAGGGGGCTTTGCAAACTATTTAAAAGGTAGATTGCTATTCCCAGAGACTCACAATTTATTTATTTATTTATTTAATTACAGTATTTATATTCCACACTTCTCATCTCGCAGGGGACTCAGGGCGGATTACAATGTACATATACATGGCAAACATTCAATGCCATAGGCACACAACAAACATAGACAGACACATAGAGGCTATTTAACATTCCAGCTTTTTCATGAGAGTATTTTGGCCACCAGGGGAGCTGTCACTTCACCTTCCATTTGTGAAACTGATGAAGTAGCAAAACAGCACCCTATCTGTGGTGGTGACAGAAACACAAAAAGGGGTCTGGAGAGATCAAAAGCTGCAACCCTGGTATTGTATGTGGCCCTAAGGCTACCCACCGAGAACTGTTGTGGAAGTAAAGATAGATCCGTATGGGAATTATACTTGTTAAAGCTAATTATTTGCATTTAAATTAAAGGAGTACATGTTCATAGATCCCAGGTTCATATCCAGCTGAAATTCTGGAAAAGTACTATCATTCACTATAAATACTACCAAGCTAGATGGAATTTGATAGTATAAGGCAACTGCCAATGTCTATGTTCCTAGGTGAGGAAAATGTGAAACATAGTAAGGCAGGTTTATTGGAAAGGCAGAGAAATTCAAAGCAGATATCCTTCTGTATCTTTGAACTGGACCAGGTATGGAGGAGACAGCAATGCTAATGTCGTTCTAGCCTACCTCAACCCAGTACTGCATCATTGTGCTTGTGATTGTGAAACTCTTTTTATTTGATACTCCTAGAATACATGGATGTATAATGAGATGTTGTCTTCTTGGAAGAATCCCAATACTTACGTTCCTCATTATCAATAAAAGGTATGACTGTAACTCTGTTAAAAGTTGTATACTAAGACAGTATTTATTTTATTGACAGTATTTATATTCCACCCTTCTCACCCCACAGGGGACTCAGGGTAGATTACAATGTACATATACATGGCAAACATTCAATGCCATAGACACACAACATATATAGACAGAAACACAGAGGCTATTTAACATTCCAGCTTTTTCATGAGGGTATTCTGGCCACCAGGGGAGCTGTTGCTTCACCATCCATTTGTGACACTAAGTAATTCCTCATTCTTTGCATGCTTGCTGGAGATTTTTATGGCATTGTAAATTAGTTAAATTAGCCTCCCCGCATAGACGGTACCTAACTTCCTACTTGACAGATGCAACTGTCTTTCAGGCTGCAAAGGTCGACAGCAAACTACACAAATTGGTCGGACACTCACTCCGACCTGGGCTGGCTTCGAACTCATGACCTTTCAGTCAGTAGTGATCTTAATGCAGTTGACTCCCTAAAATAAATAAATAATACTAAGACAAATAGGTATCCATCAGAATACTGAGTAGGAGAATTAGATCGGATAATTTGCTTTTAGAACATTTCACTTCCCATACAGCATACTGACTTGATCAATGAATTAAGGGATTCTAAGAACAGAAATCCATACCATAAACAATGATGGTGGCTGTAGTACTCCTTCGTTTGGCCACAATATTCTTGGCCACACAGGTATAGTTGGCGGTGTCAGAAAGGCGCGCCTGCTTGATGATGAGGTTATGATCAATGGTTATCAGAAAGTTAGTGTCTTGTGAAGAATCAATCAAATCCTCATTTTTTAGCCATTCCACCTAAAGAGAGAAATGAAACAAATATAAAAAGGAACAGGAGGGAAGGAAGAAGGAGGACACAGTTAATATTTGCCATTAGAATTTATATATATTTGTGTAAACATGTGTAGATGACACAATTCATTGTGGTGAACAATATGTGCTCCCTCAAGAAAATGAAAATATTATATGGGGAAAATGTTGCTTTCTGCATAAAACACCCACAAGTGAATTTTGTATAGAATAAATTTATTTTCTCCATTCAGGATTATTGACACCACGTTTCTTGACACTCAAAAACAAGTTTTCAGCCATTTTTGGATAAATATGCTTTGCATTCCATTGTGGTCTGTCCCAATGGGAAGTATATTGCATACACAGGGCTGGTGTTATTACACTGGCCAGCACACATTTTGGTGCCGCAAATGTTAGCTCTGTTTCTGGATATATTCGACTTGCGAATTCCAAAAATGACACTTTATCAGCTCTAGTTTTTGAGATACAGAAAATATGCCATATACCAATCATCATCTGTTCACCTGTAGAAAATAATAACAATTTCTAAGAAACTAGAGTTGATGAGGTCTATCCAATGCAATTTTCTGAATCAGTGCCCCAAATAACCCCAGGAATAGGCCTAGAAACAAGACACCAAGAATTGCTTTTGGTTGGGCTATGTTCTTAGACAGGAATCAGGTGTCAAACAGGGATGTGTTATTGCCCCAACTTTATTCTCCATTTTCACTGCTATGATACTTCACTTTGTTGATGGGAAGCTTCCCACCGGAGTGGACATCATCTATCGGACAGATGTGTTATTGCCCCAACTTTATTCTCCATTTTCATTGCTATGATACTTCACTTTGTTGATGGGAAGCTTCCCACCGGAGTGGACATCATCTATCGGACAGATGGCAAGCTGTTTAACCTCAGCAGGCTGAAAGCCAAAAGCAAGGTTACAACGACATCTGTTATAGAACTCCAGTATGCTGATGACAATGTTGTCTGTGCGAATTCAGAAGAAGATCTACAAGCCACTCTAAACACCTTCGCAGAAGCATACAAGAAGCTCGGCCTGTCATTGAACATTGAGAAAACCAAAGTGCTATTCCAGCAGTCACCAGCCAATCCCTTTCCAATGCCAGAGATACAGTTTAATGGTGTAACATTAGAAAATGTTGACCATTTCCGTTACCTTGACAGCCACCTCTCCACCAAAGTCAACATCGACACCATCTGAGCTTTACGAGTGCAGCATTTTTTTTAATGAAGCAGAGAGTGTTTGAGCATCCGTAGGGATACCAAAGTGCTTGTTTATAAAGCTATTGTCCTCCCAACCCTGCTCTACGCCTGCGAGATGTGGACAGTCTACAGACGTCACATGCAATTCCTGAAATGATTCCATCAGCGCTGCCTCCGGAAAATCCTGCAAATCTCTTGGGAAGACAGGCGGACAAATGTCAGCATGCTGGAAGAAGCAAAGACCACCAGCACTGAAGCGATGGTTCTCCGCCATCAACTCCGCTGGACCGGCCACGTTGACGGCGGATGCCTGACCACCGTCTCCCAAAGCAGTTGCTCTATTCCGAACTCAAGAGCGGAAAATGGAATGTTAGTGGGCAGGAAAAGAGATTTAAAGATGGGCTCAAAGCCAACCTTAAAAACTCTGGCATAGACACTGAGAACTGGGAAGCCCTGGCCCTTGACCGCTCCAGCTGAAGGTCAGCTGTGACCAGCAGTGCTGCAGAATTTGAAAAGGCACGAATGGGGGGTGAAAGAGAGAAACGTGCCTAGAGGAAGGCGCATCAAACCAACCCTAACCGGGACCGTCTTCCACCTGGAAACCAATGCCCTCACTGCGGGAGAAGATGCAGATCAAGAATAGGACTCTACAGTCACCTAGGGACCCACCAGAATACTGATCCTGGAAGACTATCCTACTCAGCCAACAAGGGATTAAGTAAGTAAGTAAGTAAGTAAGTAAGTAAGTTCTTAGACAGAATGAAGCAGTTGCTTCAAGCTGCAAATGTTAGGCACCATAATAGGGAAGCAAATGCTTAGCTATTTACATTACAATTATTATATTTTTACTACCAGGGAAGAAGAATTGTATGAATGGAATTTTAAGCTACGTGTACTGAAATAACATGGCTGGCTTGGGTGTTATGGTGCTTGACTGGGGTGGGGTGGGTGGATTTTTTGGTGTTTCAGTCTCAGGAAAAAATGTATTGGGGCAAGCCTGATCACACCCTCCTTCATTTCATACTAGTATGCACAAAGTCCTAACTTGAACCCATATGTTAACAAGTATACACTCTTTTCATTTATGAGGTCTCATAACAGTTGTATCATTTGTCATATTCTGTATTTTTTTTTAAGTATCTGTCATTCCAGAAAGCCTTAGTGCCACCAGACACCTGCATTTAGTTCATTGTTCAAGAAAGGACAGACTTAATTGCACAGAAACTTTCTATTTTTAATATTGTCCCCATCTGTCATACCAGCTGGATCTGGAATGGCCTAATTCTACCACCTCGGTATTTCAAAGCAAAAGGAGGTGGCCGGGTATATAATGGATTAATTTATTTGTCACATTTGTGCTTTGTTCTTGCTTCCCCAATGGAGCTGAAGCCAGCAGTTTTCACCCTCTAAAACAGGTCAGGCTGATCCTGTGTGATATTATAGATTAGAAATGGAATAGGAATCATAGAATCCTAGAGTTGGAAGAGACTTCGTGGGCCATCCAATCCAACTCCTGCCAAGAAGCAGGAAAATCACTTTCAAAGCACACCTGACAGATGGTCATCAAACCTCTGTTTAAAAGCCTCCAAAGAAGGAGCTTCCACCAAACTCTGGGGCAGAGAGTTCCACTGCTGAATAGCTCTCACAGTCAGGAAGTTCTTCCTAATGTTCAGATGGAATCTCCTTTCCTGTAGTTTGAAGCCAGTGCTCCAAGTCCTTGTCTCCAGGGCAGCAGGAAACAAGCCGGATCCCTCCTCCCTATGACTTCCCCTCACATATTTATACATGGCCCTCATATTGGTCTTCTCTTCTGCAGGCTAAACATGCCCAGCTCTTTAAGCCGCTCCTCATAGGGCTTGCTCTCCAGACCTTTGATCATTTTAGTTGCCATCCTTTGGACACATTCCAGCTTGTAAACATCTCCCTTCAATAGTAGGACACAGTATTCCAGGTGTGGTCTGCCCAAAACAGAACAGAGGGGTAGTATGACTTCCCTGGATCTAGACATTATTCTTCTATTTATGCAGGCCAAATCCCATTGGCTTTTTAAGCTGCCTCACATTGTTGGCTCATGTTTAACTTGTCCATGAGGACTCCAAGATCTTTTCCACATGTACTGCTGTTGAGCCAAGCTTCCCCCATTCTGCATCTTTGCATTTCATTTTTTCTGCCTAAGTGGAGTATCTTGCATTTGTGACTGTTGAACTTCATTTTGTTAGTTTTGGCTCATCTCTGATCTGTTAAGATCGTTTTGAATCCTGCTCCACCAAATTGGCTATCCCTCCCAATTTGGTGTCATCTGCAAACTTGATGATCATGCCTTAAACCTTTCATCTAAGTCAGGGGTCCTCAAACTAGGGCCTGGGGGCCAAATACGGCCCTCCAAGGTCATTTACCTGGCCCTCGCTCAGGGTAAACCTAAGTCTGAAACGACTTGAGAGCACACAACAGCAACAATACTATCTCATCAGCCAAAAGCAGGCCCACGCTTCTCATTGAAATACTAATAAGTTTATATTTATTAAATTTGTTCTTCATTTTAATTATTGTATTGTTTTTAAGTATTTTTTGCACTACAAATAAGATATGTGCAGTGTGCATAGGAATTCATTCATGTTTCTTTCAAATTATAATCCGGCCCTCCAACTGTTTGAGGGACTGTGAGCTGGCCCTCTGATTAAAAAGTTTGAGGACCCCTAATCTAAGTCATTAATAAAGATGTTGAACAGGACCGGGCCCAGGATGGAACCCTGTTTATGGCACTCCACTCGTCACTCCTTTCCACGATGAAGAGGAAGCATTGGTGAGCATTCTTTGGGTTTGTTCACTTAACCAATTACAGATCCACCTAACCATAGTTTTTCCTAGTCCACATTGTTGTGATAGGTCCTTGCAGGAACAAGTGTGTGTGTGTGTTGAAGAAAAACTTTATTGTGTTTAATTATCTTGTACAGCTGGTAAAGTAGGTCATCCAGCAAGCTTGGACCACACCCAGGGGGCTATAACTGAGTTTTTGTAATACATTCTGGAGTTCTAGCAGGAGTTGCTGAAGGAGAGATCCTGGAGAACCTTTTCTCTGAGGAGACCTATGCGCAAAGGCTTTGTTCTGGGGAGCAGTTTGGAGAAGCTACTCTGAAGGAGGCTATGGTGAAATAGCATTTACTCAAGGTTTATTTTGATCTCTCATTTGCTGTAAGATTAAGATGCCTTATTTCACTGGTTCTCAACCTGGGGTCCCCAGATGTTTTTGGCCTACAACTCATTGAAATCCCAGCCTGTTTACCAACTGTTAGGATTTCTGGAAGTTGAAGGCCAAAAACATCTGGGGACCCCAGGTTGAGAACCACTGCCTTATTTTATGTTTCTTACAAAGACTATGTAAGTTAGTTGCACTCCTTATTTTTGTATGCAACATTGCTAGTTTATGTTTTCATCTCTGCTGAGTAAAGAATAAAGATTTTTCTGTTCATTTTTACTCTGGTCTGAGAGTCTTTTGCATTTGGGCATTGGGCGCTGGGTAAAACACGTTGCTGTGTAAACACATTTGGGGGACCTTGTTGAAGGGAAATGGGAAAATATTTATTTATTATTTATTTACTTTATTTGTATACCGCTCTTCTCAGCCATCAGGCGACTCAGAGCGGTTAACAACCAGTATCAGCAACACAGTACAAAATCATTAGTCATCTAAAACAGTAGTATCAATTAATTAACATCAACAATACAGCAAAACAACAATCCATCACGTCTCATCAATAGCATCAGCATCCGATCTTGTTGCCCATTAATCCATATTCCAGTAAACAATCAATTGCACTGTTTAGTTAAAAGCCTGTTCGAAGAGCCAGGTCTTCACTCTCTTCCGGAATGCCCATAAGGAGGGGGCCGATCTAATGTCTGTAGGAAGGGCGTTCCACAGCCGAGGGGCCACTACTGAGAAGGCCTGTCTCCCGTCCCCGCCAGGTGTGCTTGTGAAGCCGGCGGGACTGAGAGCAGGGCCTCCCCAGACGATCTTAACGTCCTAACTGGTTCATAGGAGGAGATGCGTTCGGACAGATAGGTCGGGCCAGAACCGTTTAGGGCTTTAAAGGCTAAAGCCAGCACTTTGAATTGTGCCCGGTAGCAAATTGGCAGACAGTGGAGCTGGCACAACAGAGGAGTTGTATGCTCCCTGAGTGCCGCTCCTGTTAGCATCCTGGCTGCCGCTCGTTGGACCAATTGAAGCTTCCGAGCAGTCTTCAGAGGCAACCCCACGTAGAGAGCGTTGCAGTAGTCTATACGGGATGTAACCAGAGCGTGGACTACCTTGGCCAAGTCAGACTTCCCAAGGTACGGGTGCAGCTGGCACACAAAATATGGCACCCTCCCACATGTCACCGACTGAAGTTGGCACTTCTTGGTAACGAAGGAGATGCCAGACCTGCCAGTGATTGAATCTAGCTCATCTCCAAGACATTTCTGAGAACTGTAGCCCAGATGTGCCATGCTTAGCACATGTTGAGGCTATTGATGTCACTTTCTAAGGCTCGTGAAAAGCATATGAACTGCACTTTCCCAGTTGCTAGTCAAAGAATGCATTACACCACACTACCTGTTTACATAGGGATCCCTAGTGTGTAAAGGGAGGGCAGAGAGAGGACGGACCTTTCACAGCACCCTGGCACGTCATGAAAAATCTATGGATGTTGATATTTCCAAGGTCTAATTGCTCTTCTCTCTCTCCCGCGCTAAACAACCATTCATTCTTGTGTTTTCTTTGCTAAATTCTGTCAGGGGTTAATGGCCGATCAGCCCATGTGGGAGGGAGAGTTGGCTGGGCTGAACAGGTGTGGAGGTTAAGTATGTTATTAGATGTCAGAATAACAGATCCGCTGCCTAAAATAAACACTTATGCTGAATAATGAAAGCAGACGGCCTCAGCGTGAGGTTATCCATCAAGGCCCCGATCCAACATCCAAGGGGCCAATTCATTTACTTTCCTGTGCTCATTTGCTAGCTATAAAGAGACAGTCTGCTAAGGTGCCAACACTTCCACATCTGGAACTTTTACAGCAATGGTGGAGAACAACGAGGCAGATGAGCATGTGTTATGAGTTGCTGCCTGTGTAAAAGAGGAGTGAGCGGCTGGACAGATATTTTGAGATTGGGGTAGTTTTGCCTGTGATTTATGAATCGTCCCCAGTGGGGAGAAATTGCATCCTGCCTATAATTATTCACCTTCATGAGGTGCCTTCTGGAAAGGCACAGATGTGACCAGCTATGAGGGCAAAGTAGAAAGTTTCTGGTTACCAACTGACGGGAAAATGAAGGTGGAGAGAGGCAAGAGATGACAATATCTCAGCAGCCACACTACATGGCAGATTTGAAAAGGGAAGAAAGAAAAAGGCAGCAGGTAAGACATTTCTGGGTGGTTTTTAAATCATTTTTTCTGGCTTTTATCTTAGCGAGTGAGAAATAATGCATTTTGCAAGAGGGTAACAATAACAGCTGGAAGAAAAGCAACAACCCATCCCAGGAATGTAATTTTTCACTAATTTCCCTCTCATAGGTAATTTCAGCAATTTTCTTTCCACTGCAAGAAAGACTGTTAAACCAGTACAGTTTGTGAAGATGGTCCACAAATTGGGATGGGTGTTTTGAACAGCAAACATCATTTTCGACAAAAGAAACAGGCTTTTCTTTGCAGAAAATAGTATTTTCAGGACTAGCATCAGGGTTTCGCAATACTCAACAATAACGTTTTTGCAACAATTCCTTTCTAATATTTTCATTTTTTTTCCTAGCCCAGCTAATGAATCTCAGACTCGATCCATGCTGCCATATAATACATTTTAACTGCATTGAACTGGATTATAAGAAGGAGGAGGAGGAGGAGAAGAAGTAGAAGTAGAAGAAGTAGAAGTAGAAGAAGAAACAGAAGAAGATGTAGAAGAAGAAGAAGTAGAAGAAGAAGAGGTAGAAGAAGAAGAAGTAGAAGAAGAAGAAGTAGAAGTAGAAGAAGTAGTAGAAGAAGTAGTAGAAGTAGAAGACGTAGAAGTAGAAGAAGTAGAAGTAGAAGAAGAAGAAGTAGAAGTAGAAAAAGAAGTAGAAGTAGTAGAAGTAGAAGTAGTAGAAGTAGTAGTTTATTTTTCTACCTTGCCTCCATCTCCTCGGGGGACTTGGAGTGGCTTACACGGGGCCAAGTCCAAGGCAACATACAATTAATAACAGAACAATAACATATTAAAATAGCACAAAACAGCATTATGAACCCTCCAGGACTTTAAGATCTTCTGGGGAGGCCCTGCTCTCAGTCCCGCCTTTGTCATAAGTACGGATGATGGAATGAGAGACACATCCTTCTCAGTGGTGGCCCCTCAGCTATGGAACGCCCTACCTAAGGATATCAGATTGGCCCCCTTCCTTTTAACATTTCAAAAGAGAGTCAAAACTTGGATTTTTGAGCAGGCATTTCCAAATACAGTGTAACAGATATAGGACAATGGAATGGGTGGACGATGTGACCGGACAATATTTTTAACAGGAGACTCTAATGTTTATGTTTTTATGATTTTGTCATGGTTTTATTACTCTATGGTTTTTATTGTATTGAAATTGTAATTTATGGTCTTGGCACCAACTGTAAACCACTCCGAATCGCCTGTGGGCTGAGAGGGATGGTATATAAATATAATAAAATAAATAAATAAATAAATAAAGAATAAACAAGCATTATAGGCAACAACAGACTCATTGAGGGGGGGGGCAATATGCGAGACTAGTTAAAGGATAGGCTGGTCAATAAGGTGGATAGAACATATAGTAGCATGGGAATAGAGCAATTAAACAGGATCATTTCAGCTTAACTTAAAAGTGTAGTGCACTTGCTTTGAGTAAACCTACCAAAGAATGCAATGCTTGTCTAAATTCCATTACAGAGGAAAAGTTACATTTTTAGACTACAACTCTCAGAATCTCCAAGGCAGGATAGCTAGTGATTCTTCATCTTCCCCGCTGAAGAAAGGCAATGTCTACATTAAGCCAACAAATAAATAAATGATGGTGAGAATTCTGGGTGTTCTGGTCCAAACATTCCCAAGCTGTGGTGCAGGCAAAGAACTAAACTAAAAAAAATGTTCAAATACATAGGTGCAGGGACAAGGAGAAATACAAGGATGAAATGTTCTCTCAGGTAATGAAGGAACCAAGGGCTATACATAGCTTGGCACGTCGGAAACATGTCATGTATGTGATTTAATAGTAATTACAGGTTGTATTGCAAAGGAAGGAACAGGAAGAACCACTTTTGAGTGTTCCTTGCCCAAGAAAACCCTATGAAATGTAGAAGGTTATCATAAGTTGATGGCACACACACATATGCAAGACAATTTGAAGGCACATACAGTCACACATTGTAATAACTGTCTCAGAAAAAATGAGGTGCCACCTTGTAGGAATAATCATACTTTCAGGTTCACAGATCCCTCCCCAGGTGGCATCTCCAGATACTTCACTCACCTCAGCAGTTGGCACTCCTTCAGGGGGACGGCACTGCAGTAAGACTTCATGATCCAGCGGCACCTCTTTCCCAAGGGGCTCCTGGTCAAAGTTCTTCCTCAGGTCTAAAACAAGGAAATAAAACCACACACACATTAGCTATGAAGCCATTTGCAATGTCTCTTTCATCCTACCAGTGGAGGGACTGCAAAATGCCAGGAGTTCAGGGTAGTTTTAGAAACACTGACCAAACAGCTCAAAATATCCAAATAGTTTCTTCTAATGAATTTCTCACCCAGGATCACTTTGTCCTCCAGATTAGCCTACAACACTCATGAATGGTAACTATAATGTATAGGGATAATTGGTAATATTTTATTTATCGTGTCAGGAGCGAACCAAAACAGTCGTTTTGCATTAAAAACAAACCAACAAACAAACAAAACACAAAGTTTGCAGACTTTGTATTCTATTAAATGTCCTTTGACCAGTATCTGGCCACTTGGAGTGCCTCTGGTGTTGCTGCAAGAAGGTCCTCCATTGTGCATGTGGCAAGGCTCAGGTTGCATTGCAGTAGGTGGTCTGTGATTTGCTCTTCTCCACACTTGCATGTCATGGATTCCACTTTGTAGCCCCATTTCTTAAGGTTGGCTCTGCATCTTGTGGTATCAGAGCGCAGTCTGTTCAGCATCTTCCAAGTTGCCCAGTTTTCTGTGTGCCCAGGAGGGAGTCTCTCATTTGGTATCAGCCATTGATTGATGTTCTGGGTTTGAGCCTGCCACTTTTGGATTCTTGCTTGCTGAGGTGTTCCAGCAAGTGTCTTTGTAGATTTTAGAAGACTATTTCTTGATTTAAGTGCTTGGCATGCTGTCTGATACCCAAACAGGGGGTGGGCCAGGTTGGTAATGTAGTCCAACATGTCTGTACTGGCAGAGGCGGCCCTAGGTAATTCTCAAGGGTAAGCAAACAGTATTTTGCCCCCCCCCCCCCAACCAATCACTGATATATATTTTCTGTTCGTCATGGGAGTTGTGTGTGCCATATTTGGTTCGATTCCATCATTGGTGGAGTCCAGAATGCTCTTTGATTGTAGGTGAACTATACATCCCAGTAACTACAACTCGCATATGTCAAGGTGTGTTTCCCCCCAAGAGCGCCTCAAGAGCGCCCCTGGGCAAAATCAACTATACTGCGAATGCTTACTTTGCGTAATGGTTGAGCCGCCCCTGTGTACTGAACTAAGGGAGACTGACATAGACAGATTGCTGTAATGAGGCAGACTTACAGTATTGGAAGCATATTATCCTCATATTGTATTCTTAAGAATGTTCTAAATCTTTGCCGAAATACTCAGAATCATGTATATCTTATACCGTGTGGTAACACAGAAAAATGATAGTTAAGCCAGGTGTCCATTATGAATACTTACTAGGCCTGGGCGGTTTCGTTCGTTAATTTTGTAATTTGTTAAATATTCGTTATTTTTAGCAATTACAAAACGATTACAAAACACATTTTCAAACCCGGAAGGGTTTTAAAATAACGAAACGGCATCCCCCATACTTTTAACGAGCTTCCGCCCGTTTCGTAAATGGGATGGAGGATGCTGGTGCCCTGGGAGCCAATCCGGCGCTCCCAAGCACCCAAGCAGTGCACCGTGGCTGTTTCTGATTGGCCGGCAAGCCCTTTAAAAGCGGCTCCGCGTGGCCGCACAGCTCATTGTTGCAGAGGCGAGGGAGAGAAGAGAAGAGGTCCGGGAGGGCGGCTTGCATTGGGTTGGCTTGGTTGGTTGCTGGCTAAGCTTGGATTGGATTTATTCCTTGCTTCATTCCTTGCTTGGATTCATTCCTTGCTTGGATTCATTCCTTCCTTCGGTTTTCGTTAATTTGTTAATTTTCAATTTTTAAATATTTTTTAAAAATACCTGTCTTTTATTCTTAAAAAAAATACAAAAAATATTCTAAAAAAGAAAACTCTTCTGTTGGTGTGTGCTCTCATTTGCCCTGTCTCGTGGCTGTGTTTGGTCCACATCAGGGCCAGTTTTTGGTTAATTTTCCATTTTTGAATATTTTTTAAAAATACCTGTCTTTTATTCTTAAAAAAAATACAAAAAATATTCTAAAAAAGAAAAGACTCTTCTGTTGGTGTGTGCTCTCGTTTTCCCTGTCTCGTGGCTGTGTTTGGTCCACATCAGGGCCAGTTTTTGGTTAATTTTCCATTTTTGAATATTTTTTAAAAATACCTGTCTTTTATTCTTAAAAAAAACCAAAAAATATTCTAAAAAAAGAAAAGACTCTTCTGTTGGTGTGTGCTCTCGTTTGCCCTGTCTCATGGCTGTGTTTGGTCCACATCAGGGCCAGTTTTTGGTTAATTTTCCATTTTTGAATATTTTTTAAAAATACCTGTCTTTTATTCTTAAAAAAAATACAAAAAATATTCTAAAAAAAAGACTCTTCTGTTGCTGTGTGCTCTCGTTTGCCCTGTCTCGTGGCTGTGTTTGGTCCACATCAGGGCCAGTTTTTGGTTAATTTTCCATTTCTGAATATTTTCTAAAAATACCTGTCTTTTATTCTTAAAAAAAACAAAAAATATTCTAAAAAAAGAAAAGACTCTTCTGTTGGTGTGTGCTCTCGTTTGCCCTGTCTCGTGGCTGTGTTTGGTCCACATCAGGGCCAGTTTTTGGTTAATTTTCCATTTTTGAATATTTTTTAAAAATACCTGTCTTTTATTCTTAAAAAATACAAAAAAATATTCTAAAAAAGAAAAGACTCTTCTTGCTACATACACTGCTCGCCCATTTGTGTAGTTCCAACCAGTGCGCTCCTTTTGCCAACAGAAAGTGCTATAATACAGTGCTCGCTCATTATTTGTGTAGTTCCAACCAGTGCGCTCCTTTTGCTCATTATTTGTGTAGTTCCAACCAGTGTGATGAAACGCTTCCTTCCCGGCTTTTCTAGTCGCAAGGGCCAAGTGCTATCGCGAATACCGAAGAAAGGCAGGGGACTGAAGATGAACACATTGACAAGAAGGGAACATTCATCCAACGAGATGGTTATTGAAACACCCACAGATGCTTCAACCAGCTGTGAGATGGCAGAACCTTCTTCTTCATCAGTTCGAAAGACTACGTTCAGATCCTGATGTCGTTCCAAGTACCTCTGATATTACTTGTTATGAAGAGGAGGGCGAGGAGGCGGACGTGTCAGAGGAATGGGAGGAAGACAAGATGGAATGTGCTTCCACCACAGGAATTAGTGATCAAGAGGACTGCATGCTGATGGAGGGCGAGCTACAGAAACAACCAACGATTATACTCCCTTCCACAAACACCGACAGTCCAAACACGAGCATGAGTACATCTGAAGTGCCTAGTAGGGGTAGGCCGAGATCGCTCCTATGGGATCATTACGACGTCCATAATGAGAGGGCCACTTTGGCAGTTTGCAGGCATTGCGGTGTGAGCGTCAGCAGAGGAAAAGATATGAGGCATCTTGCCACAACAGGGCTAAGGATGCACATTAAGAGACACCACCCAAATGTGAAGTTGGTCCTTCTTACTTAACTTGCAATACTGCTACAGAAATTAGTATGTATGCAATACTTCCCAGATAATTTTCAGAGTTTTTTCAAAGTGCAATTCTGTTACTTTTTGTTACTTTTTCTTTATTTATTTCTTATATTTACTTTCTAAGTTTTTATAATAACATTATTTTTATATATTAATAATTTATAATTTAATTTTATATATTATTTTTATTATTATTTATAATTATATTTTATAAATATTTTATAAATTTAATTATATTTTATTTAAATATTTATATTATTATTTATTTCATTTATATAATATATATAATAATATATTATTATATTATATTATTTTATTTTATATTGTATATATTATATAATTTTTTATTATTTATTGTTATTATTATTATTATTATTATTATTATTTATATTTTATTTATTTAAATTTTATTATTATATTATTGTTTATTTCATTATATTATTAAATTGACTCAGTTTTGGATACTTTATCTTATTACTTTTTTATTTAATATCTTAATATCTTGTTCTATTTGATTATTTTATTTGATTTATTTTATGAAATGATTTTGTTTATAGAGCATTTAGCATTGCGCAATCGCGTCCGCCATTTTAACGAATCGATTCGTTATTATTTTAATAGCGAATCGATTCGTATTTAATAACGAAGTTTCGGAAGTCGCTTTTGCGCATGCGCAATCGCGTCCGCCGTTTTAACGAATCGATTCGTTATAACCTTAACGAATCGACCCCGCGCCAATAACGAAGCTTCGGAAGTGATTTTGCGCATGCGCGGGGGGTCCGCCATCTTAACGAATCGATTCGTAAATATTTACGAAATTTCGTAAATACCGAACTTTTTTAAGGGAAAATTTTGTAATTATTTTAAATATCGAAACAAAAAAACACCCCAATTACAAATCGATTTTAGAAACAAATGTTTGCGTTGTTACCCAGGCCTAATACTTACCTGAGTGGTGCTTTGAAAGAATCACTGGAATAAACAATTAACCAGTAGGTGGCACTACCACCCACAAAACCACTCTTTTTAAAAACCAAATGTTCCAACAAAAATAAATGTTGTACAAAGTAATTACTTCTGACAGTGATTATAGTGATGACAACAGTGATAATTTACTTTCTTGTTTTAGGAGATGGGATCTACCACTGATCAAGTTTATCACAGCATGGTCTACTGAGGAATCATTGAGACATACACCCAAACAACAACTAATTCTAACTTTACAAGAATACAGTGTATGGCATTTAATTTCGTGCATTTGCCTGCTTTGGAAATATACTGGATTTTGGAGGTGAGTGCCAGGAAAAAGAAACACATGGAAGAGCCACAGTTGTGTAGTAGTGCTGGACTGGTGCATTGGAAGTCCATGTTTCCCAATGAGCCAGGAAAGTCAGCAGGTGATTTTGAGCCAATCAATCTCTAAATTTTAATTGATGTCATGGGGGTTTTGTGATAAAAAATTGGCGAGGAAAAGGACTTTGAATACATTTGGGCGTGGGGAAGGTAGAATATAAATGAAAACAGCTAAAAGATAAATATTTTTAAATTTAATTATATATTTTATATAAAATATATTTATATATTTTATAAATAAAATATTCTGGGCCAAAGTGATGAGAGGGTGGGGGGCAGGGTACAGTTCCATCTTGTCTCCTGCGTATGTCATCAGTTGGGGACCCCTCCCCACAGCACCAATTGCTGCACTGGGCCAGAGTGAAGAGGGAGCGGGCCAGGGAACAGTTCCACCGTGTCTCCTGTGCTATGCTAATAATATAATATAATATAATATAATATAATATAATATAATATAATATAATATAATATAATATAATATAATATAATATATTGTATATACATATAATATTTATAATATTACTAGCCATCCCCTGCCACGCATTGCTGTGGCCCACTCTGGTTGTCATGGGGGTTCTGTTTGGAAGGTTTGGTCCAATTCTATCATTGGTGGGATTCAGAATGCTCTGTGATTGTAGGTGAACTATAAATCCCAGCAATTACAACTCCCAAATGTCAAGATTCTATTTTCCAGAACTCCACCAATGTTCACATTTGGGCATACTGAGTATTTGTGTAGAGTTTGGTCCAGATCCATCATTGTTTGAGTCCACAGTGATCTCTGGATGTCGGTGAACTACAACTCCAAAACCAAAGGTCAATGCCCACCAAACACTTCCAGGATTTTCTGTTGGTCATGGGAGAACTGTGTGCCAAGTTTGGTTCAATTCCATCGTTGGTGGGGTCCAGAATGCTCTTTGACTGTAGGTGAACTATAAATCCCAGCAACTACAACTCCCAAATGACAAAATCAATTTTTTTGAGTGAAGGACATACATTGGGTTGTTAGGTGTCTTGTGTCCAAATTTGGCATCAATTCATCCAGGGGTTTTTGAGTTCTGTTAATCCCACAAACGAACATTACATTTTAATTTATATAGATAATGTAATACAATATAATACTACTACTAATAATAATATGGTATTATAATTATATATTACATGTAAGATTACTAATAATATTACAATATAATGGTATAATACAATATAGTAATATATAATACTGACATTGTACTATGCTAATAATATAATAGATTGTATGCATATATATCTTGTAAGCTGCTCTGAGTCCCCTTCGGGATGAGAAGGGCGGCATATAAATATCGTAAAAAATAAATAATTTCCCCTGAAAACCCAAATACTTTTGAAACATAGGAAGTCATATGAAATTCACTGTTAGGCTGCTAAACTTGGGAAGTTATTTTGTTATTGCTGATTATAGGCTTCAAGACATAATTTGTTAGTGTTACTTCTTGCAATGTCCAAAAAGTTGCATTGATTGTGACATGTTGACTTTACAGAACACTATATAACTGATGAGAATGTCACAAAATGTGAGTGTGTGTGTGTGTGTGTGGGGGGGGGGGGAATCAAAATGTCTGAAGTTTCTAAGAATGCCACTGAAAAGTAAATTAGGCTAAAAGCAATTTGATTCCATCGCTTGCATTACTTTTTAATACATGGCTTAGGTGGATCCTGGTTCCAAAGGGAGTGGACTTGTTATCTACAACTACATTGCTTGTCACTCATTACTATGAGGACCTTATCACATTGTGTTATACTTGGTTTTGAAGACCATTTGCATGTGATGCCAAACAAGTCCTATCACATGGTGTTTGTCCCATTTTGTTGGCAACCCGCTGGAATCTGTCTGCAAACAGTCTCAGAAATAGAGTAATTGAACACAGATTCCATTTGTATTTTTTTCATTTACAGTGGTTCTGCTTTTATGTGTGGTCATAAAACAAGTATGCATTCCATCAGTTGTGCTCTGACGTTTCATTTGGGGGTGTTTCTGGGTGACGTTTCTTCTGATCCCAAAAATCTTTGTGATGCCACTTCCTTGTATTTATTTTTCTGAATTTTTAATGGAATCTGAACATTTTTTCCTTCTATTGTACCAAGGAAATCTATTACTGTGCAGGCGTAAGATCTTCTAAAATCTTGTGAGAATGGTCGTTTGAGACTTCCAAGCAACTTCACTGTGCAAGCTTAGGAAGTGAAAGTTACATAGGCAAGTATTCAAGTGGACTGGGAGCTTTCCATGGTGTGATGAGTTAAAACACTATATTTTCAAAAGGTAGAAACCGGGTGTGATGGGTTTTGTATGCCTCCCATCTCAATACAATATGCATCCAGACCTTAAAAACAATGGAGTGCATGTCGATTTGGCATTTCTAGATCTTAATGTGATGATGTCCATTGTGTGAACATCGGTTTAAGCCCTTTGTGGGGCTAAATATTAGACTAATACAATAATTTATTATTTATTTATTTACAGTATTTATATTCCATCCTTCTCACCCCACAGGGGACTCAGGGCAGATTACAATGTACATATACATGGCAAACATTCAATGCCATGAAGACACAACATATATAGACAGATACACAGAGGATATTAAACATTCCAGCTTTTTCATGAGGGTATTCTGGCCACCAGGGGAGCTGTCCCTTCACTGTCCATTTGTGACACTGATGAAGTACTTCCTCATTCTTTGCATGCTTGCTGGAGATTTTTATGGCGTCGTAAATTAGGCTCCCCACCTAAGTGGTACCTAAATTTCCTACTTGACAGATGCAACTGTCTTGCAGGCTACAAAGGTTGACAGCAAGCTACACAAATTGGTTGGAAGCTCACTCCGACCCGGGCTAGCTTCACACTCATGATCTTTTGGTCAGTAGTGATCTTAATACAGCTGACTCCCAGCCAGCTGCACCACAGTCCCAGTGCTGTGAACAGACAACTGAGGAAACTTTGTGGAATGCATATGTCCAGAAGAGACTCTGGAGGGCTGTGAGTCCTCATCGCACTCACAACTGCCCCCCCCCCCAAAAAAACCTAAATTTCTTCTAGTCTTCCTGTGGGCACATCAATATATTTTTGGGGTTTTCTAGATCATTTCTTGCCTTTTTAACAGTAGGGAGAGGGGGAAACCATATTTTCTTCATTGTCCAGTTTCAAACATGGCTTCTTTGTGACCTAAACATTTCATCTAGATGACACTGCAAAATGTTTTTCGTATCCCTGAAGTAGCAGGGAGGCTCTTAACATGGAGGAAATGCTCCCCACATACTCCAGTGAACATTAAATGATTCAAATGTAGCTTTTCCGGATATATTTCCATAAGGATCCTTCAGCTCTGTACACAACTACACACTAAACCCTGGTGAGATAAGAAGACCTACACAGGGGCAGCTCGACCCATGACACAAAGTAAGCATTTGCAGTATAGTTGATTTTGCCCAGGGGCGCTCTTGAGGTGCTCTTGGGGGAAAATAGACCTTGACATATGTGAGTTGTAGTTACTGGGATGTATAGTTCACCTACAATCAAAGAGCATTCTGAACTCCACCAATGATGGAATTGAACCAAATATGGCACACAGAACTCCCACGATGAACAGAAAATATATATCAGTGATTGGTTGGGGGGGGGGGCGCCAAAATACTGTTTGCTTGTTGTTGTTCATTCGTTCAGTCGTCTCCGACTCTTCGTGACCTCATGGACCAGCCCACGCCAGAGCTCCCTGTCGGCCGTCACCACCCCCAGCTCCTTCAAGGTCAGTCCAGTCACTTCAAGGATGCCATCCATCCATCTTGCCCTTGGTTGGCCCCTCTTCCTTTTTCCTTCTACTTTCCCCAGCATAATTGTCTTCTCTAGGCTTTCCTGTCTCCTCATGATGTGGCCAAAGTACTTCAACTTTGTCTCTAGTATCCTTCCCTCCAGTGAGCAGTCGGGCTTTATTTCCTGGAGGATGGACTGGTTGGATCTTCTCGCAGTCCAAGGCACTCTCAGAACTTTCCTCCACCACCACTGTTTGCTTACCGTTGAAAATTACCTAGGGCCGCCTCTGGACCTACATGAAGGAAAAATATGCATATGAGACTTACATGCTATCCGGACATAAGACCGCCGGCTTTTTGTGGTCCCAGCTGAGCTCCAGGCCACACATTGACACCAGTAGTCTTCTAAGCCAAACAGTTCTTCCACTTGCTGTCGAGAAACTTCAATCTGGACCTCTCTGACAAGGAGACCTAGAAGCAAAGAAAAAAGGAGTGATTGACTGTGCCAGGAGAACGAGAAACTGGAAAACAGGAAATACATGCATACAGCATAATGAAAGCAGGAGGGAAACCTGTGCTCGTCACATTTTGGAAACCAGGCAGAATTCGAGTTTGGGAAATGCTGGGAGCAGTAATCTGGAAAAGTCAATGAGCAGTAGGACATAGCCTACTGCTCATAACTTCCCTCTCTATGAAAAGAGCTTTAGTAAGTTTCTGTTGACTGAATTTCATTTCATCTAAGGTCGAGCTCAGTCAAGTGAGTTTTATTTCCCTGGGGCTCTTCCCTGAAACTGAGCTGAGTCACGGTGGAACCAAAATGGTGCCACAATAGCAAAGTTGCTCATTCTGAAGTTTGGAGGAGAAATAATTATGTAGGTTGTAGGTCAAAAAAACCAAAACCATCCCCATGTGGCCTTCAGTTGCTTATGGACAATATTTCCCTAAACCCACAAAGGTACTGTGAGATAAGGAAATGCATTTCCTTTCCAAAGGATGACACAAACTTTTTGATATCTCTCTGAAACAGGTACTGCACACTCATTCTGTCCATCTGCCTCTGTAAATCTTATGCCCTCTAAATGTGCTATAGGAGATAGTTCTCATTGTCTTTGGAGTTTGGGAATAGCATACTGGATAGGACTGTTTCCATTTTTTTTAAAAAAAGAACTGAATTGGTTTTAAGAGTACATGGGGTTGCCTTTGAAGACGGCTCGGAAGCTTCAATTAGTCCAACGCTCGGCAGCCATGATACTAACAGGAGCGGAGCGCAGGGAGCATACCACTCCTCTGCTGCACCAGCTCCACTGGCTGCCGATTTGCTACCGGGCTCAATTCAAAGTGCTGGCGTTGGCCTTTAAAGCCCTAAACGGTTCTGGCCCAAGTTACCTATCCGAACGTATCTCTGCCTATCAGCCCACCAGGACCCTAAGATCTTCTGGGGAGGCCCTGCTCTCTATCCCGCCTGCTTCACAGGTGCGGCTGGTGGGGACGAGAGACAGGGCCTTTTCTGTGGTGGCCCCTCGGCTATGGAATGCCCTTCCCATGGAGGTAAGATCAGCTCCCTCGCTCATGGTGTTTCGTAGAAGATTAAAAACTTGGATGTTCGAACAGGCCTTTGATTAATCAGTGCAATGAATGTGACGATCACAGGAATTGAAATATGGACGACGAATTTTGGATTTCGACTCTAGTTATGAGACGCATTTGGTTGTTGCTGTTGTGTAATATTGTGTATTGTGCTCTTTTGTTTTGAATTGTAGATTGTTGACTGTTTTTATCCTGTTGTAAACCGCGTTGAGTCGCCGGCTAGGCTGAGAAACGGCGGTATACAAATGAAGTAAATAAATAAATAAATAAATAAAAAGTAAGCGACCAAAGTTTTGTTGAATGGAAAGATGAAGAGGTAGAAAAAGCTTCCTATTTCTGAGTGTAGCAGTGGGCAAAGTATGGCCCGTGGACCTACCAGTAAGACTAGTAGATTCTCCAGCTGGAGTTTTTTGGTCTTCCAAAATGTTTACCCTCCGAAATTCCTCCAGGCTTTAGAGCTGTTTCCTTGGAAATCTTTGGAGATCTTTGGATGCTCTTAAGACTGTTCTCCCCCGGAAAGTCTTAAGGGTTGAAGCTTTTGTACATGTCCTCTACATTGGCTTTCCTTACTGAGACTAACTAAAAATGGCTCCCTTCCCTTCCCAATTGCCCTGAGTAAGAGGCGGAACCAAAACTTAACGATGATAGACAGGTGACTTGCCTTACGACTGCAACGAAAGGAAGCCACCTTTCTGCAGAATCCCAGGAACCTTGGGCTACAAGCAAACATTTAATACAAAGCAAACAAAACTGGAGCTCCTGGTACAGCCGTACCAGCACAGATATATACAATGATGGTGTCCTCACCCTCTATACATGCAGGGAAAAAGGGAAAGGGGTATATTTAAGTTTAATACAAACTCTTGCATGTCCATGAAATGTCTACCAAAAGTCTTCCATTCCTGCCTTAAACTATTTAGCTTTCCTCTGAAAGTGTCACAAATGACTTTTCAATAACTTTAAAGCATAGGTTCTTTTTATTGCAATTTCCAGTGTGAGAGGGTATATCAGATTACAGAAAAACATTTAGATAAAGAATGACATTGGACATACAGACATACAGATTCTCTGCAGTTACATCAGATTCACAATTACAAGGCTAACAAACAAACAAAGGGGAATTACATTTTCACTCAACATTCACACCACATGTACACACATTCATCCTCAGGCATTCAACTATTACCATATCATTTTCTCCCTCCTTGGAGAAGCACGTGTTAGGCCAGCCCCTGCTTTCCTGCAGCTTGTCAATGCATAGTTCCATAACGCCAAAACTTCAAAATGCTAAAATGACAAAACTTCTTTCCCTAAGCACAATGCCAAGGACCAGATCTCTGTTTTCCATACAGCAGAACCTGACTCCCTGCACAAAATCAAAGACTCCAAAAGCGCACTTCTTCCTCTTCCCATGAGAAAGAAGTCCCAAAGGGACCAGACTGCTCCCGTGCAAATCTGCCACTACCTATAGGTACACTATCTCTCTCCTTCCCATGGAGCAGAGCATAGCGGGTGGAACAGACTCTTCAGGTCTGCCACACATTGAGCATTATAAGACTGAGTATTTTATAGGAATATTCTGCTGATGTAGTCCTAAAGTTGTAAATTAATGATAGGTGTCTTCCATCCTGGATCCATCTCAGTTTCCTGGCCAGATGCTGATCTTCTTGATTGGTGTTGACAAACACAAAGGCTTGTGTTGACTTCCTTCTTAACATAAGGAATGTTGCAAACATTTCCTTAACTTGAAAGAACCATTGTGTCCATATGCTCCATAATTGATGGTGGTTGGTGGTGGTCAGGCATGTAGCTGGGGGGGGGGCTTGAGGGGCTTCAGCCCCCCCCCCTGAAATTCTCATGGTGGTTCACAAAAAGGCCTTACTGGTGCATTATTTAAACTGTTATGTTTATTCATATCATGATCTGATCACCATACTCAATATATCCCATATGCATGGGGGTATTGGGGTAATGATTCAAAAGGTTTGCTAGGCTAGACCCTCTTTCACTCAGACTCAGCCCCCCGAAACTCAGCGCCCCCTCAACCCCCCCTGAAAAAAATTCACCCCCCCCCCCGAAACGAAATCCTGGCTACAGGCCTGGTGGTGGTAGACCTGGCAGTTGGTGATGGAAGGGTTAATGTAAGTCTTGGCTCTAAAGGGCTGAGTAGTTTGTTAGTAACAGTTTACAGGTAAAAGCAATTAAGTGTGGAGGTGTGCAGATGGGTTGCAGCTGGGTGTTACTGGATTTAAGGAGCTAACTTTGAGACTTATCTTTGGGAGAAAAGTATTTGTTGCATTTTGGGTGGTGGATGTTGTTGGTTTTTTCCCCCCAGGTCTGTTGGATTTTCGGTGTCCTGACCTGTTTCCTGTAATCTTGGAAACCTGGAACCTTTGGACTGGCTTTTGACTACAGTATACTCTTGATCCCTGTACTCTGTTATTGAACTCTCGGCATTTGACCATTGGACTGGACCCTTTTAACTATGAAATTATTTTTGCTATCAGTTTTGTTTATTATGTAGCTGCGTGTTATCTTTGTGTTTTATATTTTGGACTATAAAAACAGCCAGCAAGTAAGTACTGTTTTAATTAAACTGTTTGTTTAAACTGGGAGTTTTGATTCATCTCTACCTAAACAAGGTAGAGCCCTAGCAATGTGACACATTGTCACAGTACTTATCAGAGTTTACCTTTCATTTCTTATTAGCAGGTTTTAATCACAGTCCAGCAAGCAGGTAGTTAGTTATTGAAGGCCTTATTATTACACTGGTGTCTCCAAAATTATTAGCTTCATCCATACATCCTTCCATTCTTCCATTCATTCCCACACATCATATTAAATTCACATTTATAAAATCTAGACATTAATTTTTGTGACAAAAGCATTCTTGTTCTCCATCTTAAAAAAAATCCCCACTCAGTGACACAATGTCCATTTTGTGTGGGATCCATTTTTGACCTGGTCTCAAAGTTAGTTTTTATTATGGGATGAAAAGATACCCTTGTAGCAGAACTCTAGGGGCAAAGTCAAGAGGCACTGAATTCGGTTGGCATCTTAACTGCAGACCCCTTTTTAAAGAAAAATGAGAAGCGGATGCAGAAAAAGAATGAAAAAACAGAAGGAAGAATTTTAGCTATTAAATTCTGAACACAGTTCCAGAAAATAAATTAAAATACTGCATAGAAAAGGTATTCAAGAAGTGATAAGAGAATTCCCCTTGCTGGCAGAACCCCACAGCCACCCAAGGGCGATAACTCTGATGGAGCCATTATCAACGTTCAGCTATTTTACAAAAGAGCTGCTATTACTACGGACCAAGCTTTACCCCATTATTCCTTCTGTTTTAGTGCAACCTTAATCTCTTCACCGTCACATTAAAAATCACAGCATCAATTCAGCAAGGCACATAAGCATGTACTTTAATCTTATTGCCTTCATATAGTAAAACCTCACTGCCAATTGTCTACAAATGAAGAATGGAGTGGATTCAGCTGCAGTTAAAGTCAATGGCTTCGTTTGGTTTTCCCATTATTTCAGTTGTATTTCATTTGCTGTTTTCACCTCAAAAGAACCCATTACCACTACTAAAAAAAGCCTACCCCTGCTAATGGTGTTTCTAACAGTAAGGAATGGAATGGAAAATGTTTGTGCCCTTACTACTGATAGTGACTGCTTCAATAAACATGGTTATGAAAGAGACTGGGACTACATCCACCCTGCAGAATTAAGATAGTTCGACACCACTTTCACTGCCATGGCTAAATGTTATGAAATCATTGGAATTGTAGTTTTCCAAGCTCTATATCCTTATCTGCCAAAGAATGCTGATGCCTCACAAAACTATAACTCCAATGACTTCATAGCATTGAGCCATCACAGTA